AACACCTGAATGCCTCTCCAGTCTTCTGTGTCAGTACATCCCAACCCGACCATTACGATCCAAGAATCACCAGCTACTTGTCATTCCTAAAGTTCGACTCTCATCCTATGGGAAAAGATGATTCCAACACGCAGCCGCCAGTCTCTGGAACAACTTGCCCACTCACATCAAGAATGCTGAATCTTTGGACACATTTAAATCGTCTCTAATAACCCACTTTTTCCGTCTTGCCTATTACTAGACTTTCTATGTTCAATTGTCTCTCTGTAAAAAGTTTTAACTATTTTTCTCCTATAGTATTGTAGCACCATGAGCGGGTATTAGTACCTGGATGTAGCGCTATATAAATACCCACATTATTATTATTATTATTATTTTGTTTTACAGTTTAAAGATACTATGCAGCAGAGAGGGTTCGGGTGATCCTGGCACAGTCAGGCTGGTAAGGCTCATCATCAGCTCAGGGACCTTGCCAACCACACGCAGCCCAGACAGCGAATGGGACTTCTCCCAGGAAACGCCGCCTAGTAGAACCCACCAAGAACTTTCCGAAGAATATGAAGACTCCCCAACACTGCAGCCGTCTGCATTACCCAGAGTGTCAGAAGGGCTGTACTCCCGGTGGAGAATCCGGGCACTCTCCTAATCTGCGCCAAGAGATCAGGAGGTACCAAACAAGGGCACCGAGAACAATGGGGAGCCTGACGACAGTGTACTTGGGTTGCAAGCGAGACATTTCAAAGGCGAGGTCCGCATATTTATCGTGCTTTTCCTGAATCTTGCAAATCACATTGGTGTCAAAAGGGACAGAAAATTAAATGATATAAATAAATTCATTGGCTTTATCAAAAAGGACAAGATCAGGTTTGTTGGCTGGAATTCTTCTGGGGCTGTATATGGGCCTATTCCAGAGAAGTTTGAAAGCATCATTTTCCATGACGCCCTGGACATGTTCAGGGTCGTACCATGGATGGACCTCGGAGTCAAAGCCACAGGCATGTCGGAGACGGTAGTAAAAGCAGCGAGCCATGCCATCATGTCGTTTAAGATATGATGTTTGTGCCAAGGAAGGGCATCCACTGACAAGGTGTTGGACAGTCTCCGTGAATTCATTGCAAAGTCGACATTTCATATTGATATTTTCTTTAAGAATCACATTTAGGCGATTGCGAGTGGGAAGTGACTGGTCCTGAGCAGCAAAAAGGAAGCCCTCAGTTTCACATTAAAGACCAGCCGACTTCATCCAGGCGAAGGAGTCGGTGGGATTGCTATTATTATTTTATTATTATTATTAGGTGAAATGCATCTCTTTCAGAAGAGTTAAATTGTCCTATATATATAAATGAACCAATAGTAGTGATTTTGATATCCAAATAAAGGTTGAAATATAATTCTGCTTGGGGACAATGATAAACCATTGAAAGTCACCATTTTTCAACTACTATAACAAGAAACAATTGTTGTTGAGTGTGTAAAATTGTTCGCGGTGGGCGAACTGGCTAAAGCGCCAGGCTGGTGATCCAGCGAGCTTGAGGTGACGGGATCGAGCCCACCAGTGACCGGGTGTAAAAACCTTGGAGTCAACTTTGTGTGCAGACTCTTTCAGTGTTGTCACAACGCCTAGTGTACAGTACACAACCCTATGCACTTAAAAGAACCCACGAATCCGTTGGTATATGACCAGATGGTGGCCACATGAATACGTGCAAACACCCGGTTGCGGGTACAGCAACGTGCAGTAAAAAGGGACAAAGTGCTGTGACTATGTGTCCCAGTCCACCCAGCTGTGAATGGGTACCTCGTAAGGATGGGAATGCCACAATAACTCGGTGCGCCTAGTGGCTGCAAGAGTTGTATGCTCCCCAGGGAGTTGAGATTGACATTACGATGTGCCGTTGAGATTGACATCCAGTGAACGAGGGAAAAACAAAGCGCCTTTGAGCAGCTCAGCTGAGCTGGATATAGGCGCTATACAAATGTTAGTATGTATGTATGTATGTATGTATGTATGTATGTATGTATGTATGTATGTATGTATGTATGTATGTATGTATGTATGTATGTATGTATGTATGTATGTGGGGCGGTGGGGTAGCCTAATGGTTAAAGCGTTGGCTCGTCACGCCGAAGACCCGGGTTCGAATCCCCACATGGGCACAATGTGTGAAGCCCATTTCTGGTGTCCCCCGCTGTGATATTGCTGGAATATTGCTAAAAGCGGCGTAAAACCAAACTCAGTCAGTCATGTGTATGTATGTATGTATGTATGTATGTATGTATGTATGTATGTATGTATGTATGTATGTATGTAAAAATAATCATTCCTATGATTTCAGTCTTTTAAAACATTTTCTGCTGATTTGCATTAGTTAAAACAAGTAAAACGTGTCTTTGATATTGTGAAAAAATGTTTAGGAACATCTAAAATTGTCTTTGTTAAAATTTTATCTTGCACAGTAACACTTTTCCATTTTCTGTTTACACATAGCAATATCAATCGCCAAAACGCAGCAATATTAAAGCAGTAATTACATCCATTCCACATGTAGAATGATTCTATAGGGTATAAAGAGAGCCTAGTATACCCATATTATTATTATTATTATTATTATTATTTATTAAGCTCAGTAGCACATAACTATGCTTGGTGAACTACAAAAGCCATGTTTGACCCGATACATTATAAACTGTACTTTCAATGATACATTCATATCATTTTCACCGCTAAGTTGCCCTCTGTTGGAATCTGTTTTCTCTATATTTACAAGCTATAGACGTTGTTCAAAATTAACACAGTTTCAAAACGTCAGTGTCAACACTGACTCAACGGGTTTTCAAGCCCACAATCACTTGAATGTCTGGTCTGTTTACAGGCGGCCGTTGTATTGCACGGTGTCAAGCAACAAACACAACTTCTGTACGCACACTGTGTGTGTGGCGGGTAGGGCAGGACACCCGGTGTCATTCATATACTTGTCTACGTTATGTTGCCTTTTACGGCCTATATTGACTGGTTATTGTCTGGCCATGGCGTTATATTCGTCTATCGTTCTCTCTGATTCTGTGTCAAGTACCTCCTTTGTTCTGTCTGTTACAAGGACACCACGCGTGGCCTGATATGTCAGGCATTCTGTGTCAAGTACCTCCTTTGTTCTGTCTGTTACAAGGACACCACGCGTGGCCTGATATGTCAGGCATTCTGTGTCAAAGTACCTCCTTTGTTCTGTCTGTTACAAGGACACCACGCGTGGCCTGATATGTCAGGCATTCTGTGTCAAAGTACCTCCTTTGTTCTGTCTGTTACAAGGACACCACGCGTGGCCTGATATGTCAGGCATTCTGTGTCAAGTACCTCCTTTGTTCTGTCTGTTACAAGGACACCACGCGTGGCCTGATATGTCAGGCATTCTGTGTCAAGTACCTCCTTTGTTCTGTCTGTTACAAGGACACCACGCGTGGCCTGATATGTCAGGCATTCTGTGTCAAATACCTCCTTTGTTCTGTCTGTTACAAAGACACCACGCGTGGCCTGATATGTCAGGCATTCTGTGTCAAGTACCTCCTTTGTTCTGTCTGTTACAAGGACACCACGCGTGGCCTGATATATCAGGCATTCTGTGTTCAGAGAAAAACTGTTTGGAGGAGACCATCATGGCGTCACCGAGACTCTAATTAAGTTACAGAACGGTTGAGACAATTGATGGTCCATCCACAGTCACGTTGGAGGTGAATCTGGAGACTGGCTGACCGGGACCAGCATTACAGTTATTTAAAGGGCAAGTGATTCTCCGGTAAACAGGACTTGTATGAGTAAGCCGCCGGTGTGATTCTACCAACAGTAGACAAGATTTGTTGGCTTGGCTTCTAAGTCACCAAGCTTCGTTGTCAATAACACCCAGGGGCGGCGCCCTGTTAGTAATCGAATTACGGTAACCTAGTGATGAGCAGTGCTCGGCGTACAGTGTCAGAACCAGAACATCGAGTGATTAACATCATGAGCATTAATATCCACGCATATTTTATACGATGATATTTAAACTTTAAAGTCAGTCAGCCTGACAACCCTAGGTAGTCAGAAGTCTCTTATTACAAGTACAAACTATAATCCGTTATCAGAAGTGTTTAGTCGTAACAGTGAGTACTTCCTAATTAATTCCTTCTTAATTAATCCTAATTAAATAACAAACAAGTGACACCTTCAACTCAATTAGCCCCAATTAGTTTACACTACCGCATCCCTTTTGATTCATGCCGCACCGAGAGTAAACGTCTATAAATCACTCACCACATCCCTCTAAAGCCATTAACGGGAATGTGATATGTGAAATCTGACAAAACGGTACCACCATCAGCTCACACCATTAGCCACGTGTTCCCCCTTATTACATGTAGTAGTCACACAGCATGGATCACTCACTCGTTTACTCACTCACATACACACCCACTCACTCACTAACTACTGAACTCACTCAAACTCACTCACTCACCCATACACACACCACATTGTTTACTCACCCACTCGCTCCCTCCCTCCCTCACTCACCCACCCACTCACTCACTCACCACTGAACTCACTCAAACTCACTCACCCACTCACTCACTCATCTACCCACGCACTCACTCACTCACTCACACTCACACACACCCATACACACACATTGTTTACTCACCCACTCACTCCCTGACTCACCGCACTCACTCACTCACTCCACTCACTCCACCCATACACACACCACACCACCACATTGTTTACTCACCCAGTCATCCTCCCATTCACTCTCTTATTCAATCAATCAATCAACCAATGAATCACTCATTCACTCAAACAAACTCACTCCACACATACACTCACTCACTCAACACTCTCAAACACACACACACGCACACACACACACACACTCATTCACACAGACACCGACGCACCCCACCCACACCCCCCACTCGCTTACTCACCCAGACTCACTCACTCACTCATAGTGAAAAGACCAGAATCAGACAGCGGGAGCAGGTTTGTTTATTATGTAACCCTGTGGAATTCATACAAACAATATCAACACATCTCGCTGCAATTGCGGGGACTTGAAACGCCAATAAAACCAACCAACACGTCTTTTCACCAATGTACAACTTATCAATATAACATTTTCCAACACACCTTCAAAGAAAGCTAAGTGATATGTAAGTGTCTGGATAAATCAGATGTCTGTTTGAGAAGACAGGGCTGTAGGTACAGTTCTCGTCAGTGTTTGGCTCAATACTCAAAGGGGCAGTCATCTTAGTTGATTCTTCAAGAAGACACCGGTCACCAGGGTCAACAGAAACCCAAGGACATGCGGACAGTGACCATTACTACTACTACTACTACTACTGTCGTCTCCGTTGCCAGGCAGCGGAGACTGGGTTGGAGCACCAGGCAAGGGACACTGGCTTGGAAACTGAAGTTTCGGTTTAAGACATTGAGATGACTCCCTTCCGCCCGGGCACAGAAGCGTGGCATTTAGACCATCTAAACGTCTCCCAGGGAACACAGTCGAGGTGTTGTGGCACCGGTTTCGGTTGAGCGACGCGGCAAGGTTCAGGTTAGTCTGCGCCGCCTCAAACAACCAAGCAAGCTGGCAGCTGCAGTTGAAGGTTAGCTGGTAGAACGAGAAGACGTTGCCAACGTCTTCCTGGAGGACGTCCAAGGTGTTGCAGTGAGTATTTGCGATGTAACTGGAGTATATGCTGGCTGATTTGGTTCCGTTGAAATCTTCGAAAGCTGAAGTGTCCATGAAGTCAATGTTTGCCAGATACAACGAGAAGGACTTGGCCGATATGTTGTGGAAGGCGAAGGACCTGATGATTGTAATGTTGGCGCTGTAGATGCTGAAGCGGGAGTCCGAGAGTGAAGAGAAGGCGTAGGGCTTGATGTCTCCAATAGTGATGCTGTACAAAGAAAACGATCCTGGATTTACGAACGACATGTTAGAAAACGCCCCGGACTCAATGGTATCAATGTTCGATTGGTAGATGTTCAATGACTTCATCTGGGCCAAGTTCTTAAAGGCGCAGTTTCTTATTTTCCCAATGGTGTTCTTGTACAGCGACACCGTGTTAAGGAGAGGCAGACCCTTGAACGAATCCGGCGGTATCTCCGGTAGGGAAGATAGATAAATTGTAACTACTTCCGTTGATGCTGGGAAGGATTTCGGGAAGGAGGAGAGCCCTGTACAAGACACGTGACCAGGTCTTGGACAAATACATCCGGTCGGACAGCTCTGTGCGGCAACTGTTGTGATGACCAATCCCAACACGACAAATAGACTGATCTGAAATAAAATCATTTTGTCTGATTAATACATTAATTAAACATGCGTCTGAGTTGCTGCAACATGTATCTAAGTATGCATAGTTCATTCAAATCATAGCACGACATAGTCAAACAATTCAAGCCGACATATATCACGGCTTGTAACAAAAGACACACAGTGAAGTGACGTAAGAACGACTCTTGTGTTTGATTGACCGTATCCGGTGTTTACAAGTGCTCCGTGTGTGGTGCGCGTCGCTCTCAATAAAGGTCCAGCTATGGCCGCGGTCGGTAACAGTCCAATCCCTGGACAGATACCATGATCCACGCCACAGGACAATTACCACAGTCCAATTCCTGGACAGATACCATGGTCCACACCACAGGACAATTACCACAGGACAATCCCTGGACAGATACCATGGTCCACACCACAGGACAATTACCACAGTCCAATTCCTGGACAGATACCATGAGTCCACACCACAGGACAATTACCACAGTACAATCCCTGGACAGATACCATGGTCCACACCACAGGACAATTACCACAGTCCAATTCCTGGACAGATACCATGGTCCACACCACAAGACAATTACCACAGGACAATCCCTGGACAGATACCATGATCCACACCACAGGACAATTACCACGAGTCCAATCCCTGGACAGATACCTTGTCCACACCACAAGACAATTACCACAGGGACAATCCCTGGACGAGATACCATGGTCCACACCACAGGACAATTACCACAGTCCAATTCCTGGACAGATACCATGGTCCACACCACAGGACAATTACCACAGGACAATCCCTGGACAGATACCATGGTCCACACCACAAGACAATTACCACAGTCCAATTCCTGGACAGATACCATGGTCCACACCACAAGACAATTACCACAGGACAATCCCTGGACAGATACCATGGTCCACACCACAAGACAATTACCACAGGACAATCCCTGGACAGATACCATGGTCCACACCACAGGACAATTACCACAGTCCAATTCCTGGACAGATACCATGGTCCACACCACAGGACAATTACCACAGGACAATCCCTGGACAGATACCATGGTCCACACCACAGGACAATTACCACAGTCCAATTCCTGGACAGATACCATGATCCACACCACAGGACAATTACCACAGTACAATCCCTGGACAGATACCATGGTCCACACCACAGGACAATTACCACAGGACAATCCCTGGACAGATACCATGGTCCACACCACAGGACAGTTGCCAACAGGAATGGCACTTCGATTTTTATCTGAAGTTCCTAAATATCATTTTGCCAAAGTTATATATTTTGCAAAATGCGAGGCTAATTCGAGGTATGATGTATTTGAAACCTGCATGTAGAAAATGGTCAAATGTGGACTCAAACACAAAATGTACTGGTCTGTACTTTACTGATAAAGTGTTATCCCAAATGAAACGCGTTACGTTAAATATCTCCGTTATTTGACACAAACCTGTATATATACGAGGTTCGCTAGAGAAACCACTCATCGATCTCTACTCGAAGTTAGACGAGACAAGCCACTGGTCAATATATACTCGACGTTCGGCAAGATAAACCGCTCATCGATATATACTCGAGGTTTGCCAGACAAGCCACTGATCGACCTTTACTCAAATGTTCAGCCAGACAAGCCACTGATCGATCTGAACTCAACTTTCGACCAAACAAGCCACTGATCGATCTGTACTCAACGTTCGATCAAACAAGCCACTGATCGATCTGTACTCAACGTTCGACCAAACAAGCCACTGATCGATCTGTACTCAACGTTCGACCAAACAAGCCACTGATCGATCTGTACTCAACGTTCGACCAGACAAGCCACTGATCGATATGTGCTCGACTTTCGGCCAGTCAAACCACTGATCGATCTTTACTCGACTTTCAGCCAGACAAACCACTGATCGATCTGTACTCGAGTTTCGCCAGACAAGCCACTGATCTGTGTTTGTTTCAGTATTGCTGTGATTATATACGACCGCCGGCCGAACAGGTACTTTGTCAGCATCACTTTCAGACAAGTAGTGTATAGCTGTATCAGGGAATGGGCTGATGCTGTAGATACATATGATCTGTTTAAGGTAAGGAAATACTCACATGTCCCTCCATCCTGGCTGACAGCAGTTCAATAACAGCTCGTGGAAAGGGATTCTATTTAAACACACACACGACGCAGAACACAGTCCAAACTGACGTCGGGAACAGTTCCTGTTTGTGTGTCCTCTCGTGTCACTCACTACAAGTGTAGAGACAGTGGAGCAAAACAACAAAACTATGACGTACATACACTGCCGACTTAGTACTCGAGTAGACAATCACCCTACAAGTCCCGAAGTCATAGGATGGTACTAGAACCGGGGCGGGCCTATTGAAGTGATGATACGCCTGTATGCCGCTGATGGAAAGAGTTTGTTTTGAGAGTCGAACGGTTGAGGAAGTGTGTCATGTCATGAAACATTCTTTTAAAGAAACGTAGAGAAGGTTGTAATGGTTGTACTGAATTTATCAACATGGAGTGAATGTGCCGTCCTGCCACACCCAGACACTGTGGTCTCAAGTACAAACACTTCCAGGTGTCGCGCAGGTTTCAGCGTTCGTGCGTGCGCTCGCGTGTGTGTCCACACAATGTATAAAAGCATTAACAATATATCATAGCGGAAATAGAATAAATAGGCATGATACATAAGATTATATATGACTGTTTGGGGGCATGAGGCTATAGTAGTGATACACACAGGGAGAAGCTACCCGGTACTTGATGATGCTGGTGTCGTCTCAGTTCGCCGTTACGTCGCTAGTGTAGCTACTACTCGTATTTCTCAGGGATCAAGACCCAGGAAGATCCGGGCCAGAATTGGTCTTCAGTAACCCATGCTTATCGTAAAAGGCCACTAACGGGATCGGGTGGTCGGGGTCGCTGACTTGGCAATATCCCAATTGTGTAGATCGATGCTCATGCTGTTGATCACTGGATTGTCTGGTCCAGACTCGATAATTTAGAGCCCGACGCCATATAGCTGGAATATTGTTGAGTGCGGCGTAAAACTAAACTCACTCACTCACTCACTCTTAGGAATCAATCATATAATAATAGATAATAATCCAACAAATAATAACTGAAATATCCTGGTATACAAAGCCTGGGTAAACCACATAGGGCCTCACCTACATGATGAATGAATGGACAGAGACATACTATCCGATCGAAGTTCATCTGCACGGAGCAGGTGACAACAGCCACACATGCAGCTTGGGAATGGAAACCAGCTCCTTGGAATGGCATTGTACATGACTGCAACTCGCAAACAGCGAACATTGATTGAGGTGCTGTAAAATCCCGCATGGCGACAATTATTCAGCCAGACGAATGTCGTGATACACGGCCGTTGTTGTGTGTACTTTCGGAATACAGCTGTGGGTCACGTGGGTGGTGCAATAGGCTATGCAGAGTTGCGTCCCTTGATTAGGGGGGTTCGAATCGCGATTGCTCCACATGTGTTTCTGGATTGTCAGCACCAGTCACTCTCACTCTCATGTAACCGTATGCTGTAAGTGTATTACTTGTTCAAGCCGTTTACGAGCAGTTATAAATGTTTTTGACATTCCATAAATATATAGCGTCACTACAAATGAATACATATTCCTGACGATCTTCACATACAGATTTCATTTGCAAGACAGTTAGAGAAGTGCGAAATAGTGGAAGTTGTAGAAATGGACCACCGAATATAAGTGATGACATCACGGGCCATGCACACAATTTACCTTGAAAAGTAAGAGTTTACAGACCGACGCAGTAACAATTTAAATTATCTATAAACTACCGGGCAAAAGGGAAAAAACGGGGCCATATCTCTTACACTGGGAAGTAGATGTACAGTAAACGTTCGATTTGACTTTACAAGTGTAACCGGTGGTCCGTCGCTGGCAGACGAACGGGCAAATATTCTGGATAAACTTTGGGCAGTGCAATATGCGTGGAGGGCGATATAAGTACTCTTCTATCACCAGGTAATTGCCATACTTCAATGCCTGGATGGCCATGTAACACATCATCATAAAGCTAGTTATCATATAATGGAGGGTGTTATCGGTGCAATAAAGCAATCTGATAAACTTGGTATCCAAATCTGATAACTATGCAAATTACGTCAATCCACGAACTACTTTCGCAAAACTCCATACACGCCATGCGAATCCTAAAACGTTTTAACATTTCATTGATGACGTCGTCGCGAGATTACATTGTTTGTAACCAAACATGGCTGCCCCCATTTCTCAAAATTGGTGATTCTGTAAGAATTGATGACAGAGGTTCTGGAGTCGCTACTGCAGTCTTTGGAAAACATGAAACAGAGTACTTTGTTCAAATTGAAGGTACGGATTATGAGGCACAACTGAAAGGCAATCGTCTAAGAAAGGTACCAACCAAGGATCTATCGATCTATCGATCACATTACAGACGACGAATCGATTCCGTCAGGTATCAACTGATATTGATGAGGTGATTACCCGCAGTGAAAATAGAAACACCCCCAAGAAAACCCTCTCCACTGCCCTCTGGTTCAGTACTGTCTCAAGGAAGAAACCTACAAGACTAGATTCTTAGGATCTTCACCTGATGGTAAGCGGATATGAATTGCATCAGTTTATTTGCATTCTTTTCACACTATCAGTTCTCTCTACACTTGCTTTAAGGTTGAAGTAATGCCGATTCGACGTAAAATGGTACCTCACTTTAACTTGCGATAGTGTAATTGAAAACGAAAGCAAGATATGTGTGAGGGACATTGCAGTTGTGTAAGTTAGATTCTCAATCCGTTTATAACAGGTACTTTCTGATGCACGAACGCCAAGTACCAAGAGACAGATACTTGAGAGGGATGTTCCAAAACCGAGAGGATCCAAATGGTATTGGCCATGTATGGAATGATCGTGAGTAAGTTGTACCTAAAGGGGCCATCCAGATTGTCTAGTTGTCTGCCTTTGGGTTACTCTGTCTGGATCACCCATGCCTGCTCCACTACCGTCAGAAACGGTACTTTCTGCCTCTTTCTTCGGGCCTGCAATACCCACACCATGTCAAAGTGTGGTGCAGCCAACGAGGTGGGGCAGACTGAACTGCTCATGACGGTGTTGGTCATGCCTGGAATGGTCCTTACAGTGTTGAACCAAATGGGGGTAAATTGGACAGTCTGGCTAGTTGCCTTTGGGTGCTAGGCTCTCTTGATCACCCATGCCTGGTCCACTGCCCTCTGGTTCAGTACTGTCTCAAGGAAGAAACCTACAAGACTAGATTCTTAGGATCTTCACCTGATGGTAAGTGGATATGAATTGCATCAGTTTATTTGCATTCTTTTCACACTATCAGTTCTCTCTACACTTGCTTTAAGGTTGAAGTAATGCCGATTCGACGTAAAATGGTACCTCACTTTAACTTGCGATAGTGTAATTGAAAACGAAAGCAAGATATGTGTGAGGGACATTGCAGTTGTGTAAGTTAGATTCTCAATCCGTTTATAACAGGTACTTTCTGATGCACGAACGCCAAGTACCAAGAGACAGATATTTGAGGCGGATGTCCCCAAAGCGAGAGGATCCAAATGGTATTGGCCATGTATGGAATGATCGTGAGTAAGTTGTACCTAAAGGGGCCATCCAGATTGTCTAGTTGTCTGCCTTTGGGTTACTCTGTCTGGATCACCCATGCCTGCACCACTACCGTCAGAAACGGTACTTTCTGCCTCTTTCTTCGGGCCTGCAATACCCACACCATGTCAAAGTGTGGTGCAGCCAACGAGGTGGGGCAGACTGAACTGCTCATGACGGTGTTGGTCATGCCTGGAATGGTCCTTACAGTGTTGAACCAAATGGGGGTAAATTGGACAGTCTGGCTAGTTGCCTTTGGGTGCTAGGCTCTCTTGATCACCCATGCCTGGTCCACTGCCCTCTGGTTCAGTACTGTCTCAAGGAAGAAACCTACAAGACTAGATTCTTAGGATCTTCACCTGATGGTAAGTGGATATGAATTGCATCAGTTTATTTGCATTCTTTTCACACTATCAGTTCTCTCTACACTTGCTTTAAGGTTGAAGTAATGCCGATTCGACGTAAAATGGTACCTCACTTTAACTTGCGATAGTGTAATTGAAAACGAAAGCAAGATATGTGTGAGGGACATTGCAGTTGTGTAAGTTAGATTCTCAATCCGTTTATAACAGGTACTTTCTGATGCACGAACGCCAAGTACCAAGAGACAGATACTTGAGGCGGATGTCCCCAAAGCGAGAGGATCCAAATGGTATTGGCCATGTATGGAATGATCGTGAGTAAGTTGTACCTAAAGGGGCCATCCAGATTGTCTAGTTTTCTGCCTTTGGGTTACTCTGTCTGGATCACCCATGCCTGCTCCACTACCGTCAGAAACGGTACTTTCTGCCTCTTTCTTCGGGCCTGCAATACCCACACCATGTCAAAGTGTGGTGCAGCCAACGAGGTGGGGCAGACTGAACTGCTCATGACGGTGTTGGTCATGCCTGGAATGGTCCTTACAGTGTTGAACCAAATGGGGGTAAATTGGACAGTCTGGCTAGTTGCCTTTGGGTGCTAGGCTCTCTTGATCACACATGCCTGGTCCACTGCCCTCTGGTTCAGTACTGTCTCAAGGAAGAAACCTACAAGACTAGATTCTTAGGATCTTCACCTGATGGTAAGTGGATATGAATTGCATCAGTTTATTTGCATTCTTTTCACACTATCAGTTCTCTCTACACTTGCTTTAAGGTTGAAATAATGCCGATTCGACGTAAAATGGTACCTCACTTTAACTTGCGATAGTGTAGTTGAAAACGAAAGCAAGATATGTGTGAGGACATTGCAGTTGTGTAAGTTAGATTCTCAATCCGTTTATAACAGGTACTTTCTGATGCACGAACGCCAAGTACCAAGAGACAGATACTTGAGGCGGATGTCCCCAAAGCGAGAGGATCCAAATGGTATTGGCCATGTATGGAATGATCGTGAGTAAGTTGTACCTAAAGGACCCATCCAGATTGTCTAGTTTTCTGCCTTTGGGTTACTCTGTCTGGATCACCCATGCCTGCTCCACTACCGTCAGAAACGGTACTTTCTGCCTCTTCTTCGGGCCTGCAATACCCACACCATGTCAAAGTGTGGTGCAGCCAACAGGTGGGGCAGACTGAACTGCTCATGACGGTGATGGTCATGCCTGGAATGGTCCTTACAGTGTTGAACCAAATGGGGGTAAATTGACAGTCTGGCTAGTTACTTTTGGGTGCTAGGCTCTCTTGATCACCCATGCCTGGTCCACTGCCCTCTGGTTCAGTACTGTCTCAAGGAAGAAACCTACAAGACTAGATTCTTAGGATCTTCACCTGATGGTAAGTGGATATGAATTGCATCAGTTTATTTGCATTCTTTTCACACTATCAGTTCTCTCTACACTTGCTTTAAGGTTGAAGTAATGCCGATTCGACGTAAAATGGTACCTCACTTTAACTTGCGATAGTGTAATTGAAAACGAAAGCAAGATATGTGTGAGGGACATTACAGTTGTGTAAGTTAGATTCTCAATCCGTTTATAACAGGTACTTTCTGATGCACGAACGCCAAGTACCAAGAGACAGATATTTGAGGCGGATGTCCCCAAAGCGAGAGGATCCAAATGGTATTGGCCATGTATGGAATGATCGTGAGTAAGTTGTACCCTAAAGGGGCCATCCAGATTGTCTAGTTTTCTGCCTTTGGGTTACTCTGTCTGGATCACCCATGCCTGCTCCACTACCGTCAGAAACGGTACTTTCTGCCTCTTTCTTCGGGCCTGCAATACCCACACCATGTCAAAGTGTGGTGCAGCCAACGAGGTGGAGCAGACTGAACTCCCTCATGACGGTGTTGGTCATGCCTGGAATGGTCCTTACAGTGTTGAACCAAATGGGGGTAAATTGGACAGTCTGGCTAGTTGCCTTTGGGTGCTAGGCTCTCTTGATCACCCATGCCTGGTCCACTGCCCTCTGGTTCAGTACTGTCTCAAGGAAGAAACCTACAAGACTAGATTCTTAGGATCTTCACCTGATGGTAAGTGGATATGAATTGCATCAGTTTATTTGCATTCTTTTCACACTATCAGTTCTCTCTACACTTGCTTTAAGGTTGAAGTAATGCCGATTCGACGTAAAATGGTACCTCACTTTAACTTGCGATAGTGTAATTGAAAACGAAAGCAAGATATGTGTGAGGGACATTGCAGTTGTGTAAGTTAGATTCTCAATCCGTTTATAACAGGTACTTTCTGATGCACGAACGCCAAGTACCAAGAGACAGATACTTGAGGCGGATGTCCCCAAAGCGAGAGGATCCAAATGGTATTGGCCATGTATGGAATGATCGTGAGTAAGTTGTACCTAAAGGGGCCATCCAGATTGTCTAGTTTTCTGCCTTTGGGTTACTCTGTCTGGATCACCCATGCCTGCTCCACTACCGTCAGAAACGGTACTTTCTGCCTCTTTCTTCGGGCCTGCAATACCCACACCATGTCAAAGTGTGGTGCAGCCAACGAGGTGGGGCAGACTGAACTCCTCATGACGGTGTTGGTCATGCCTGGAATGGTCCTTACAGTGTTGAACCAAATGGGGGTAAATTGGACAGTCTGGCTAGTTGCCTTTGGGTGCTAGGCTCTCTTGATCACCCATGCCTGGTCCACTGCCCTCTGGTTCAGTACTGTCTCAAAGGAAGAAACCTACAAGACTAGATTCTTAGGATCTTCACCTGATGGCAAGTGGATATGAATTGCATCAGTTTATTTGCATTCTTTTCACACTATCAGTTCTCTCTACACTTGCTTTAAGGTTGAAGTAATGCCGATTCGACGTAAAATGGTACCTCACTTTAACTTGCGATAGTGTAATTGAAAACGAAAGCAAGATATGTGTGAGGGACATTGCAGTTGTGTAAGTTAGATTCTCAATCCGTTTATAACAGGTACTTTCTGATGCACGAACGCCAAGTACCAAGAGACAGATATTTGAGGCGGATGTCCCCAAAGCGAGAGGATCCAAATGGTATTGGCCATGTATGGAATGATCGTGAGTAAGTTGTACCTAAAGGGGCCATCCAGATTGTCTAGTTTTCTGCCTTTGGGTTACTCTGTCTGGATCACCCATGCCTGCTCCACTACCGTCAGAAACGGTACTTTCTGCCTCTTTCTTCGGGCCTGCAATACCCACACCATGTCAAAGTGTGGTGCAGCCAACGAGGTGGAGCAGACTGAACTCCTCATGACGGTGTTGGTCATGCCTGGAATGGTCCTTACAGTGTTGAACCAAATGGGGGTAAATTGGACAGTCTGGCTAGTTGCCTTTGGGTGCTAGGCTCTTTTGATCTTTAGAATCTTCACCTGTTTGTAGGTGGATATGAGTTGGAATATTGTGTTTGCTATAATTATCACTTTGCCTGCTGCTTCTACGTTTTGCGTCCGAACGATGGTGTAATTGCAAACGAATGCAAGATATGTGTGAAAGCTCTCAATCCTTTTAACAGGAACGTTCTGCTGTCTGACCACCAACTACCCAAAGAAAGATGTCTGAGGCAGATGACCCAAACTTAGATCACCCGAACGAGGCAGATGACCCAAACTGAGATCACCCGAGCCCAATCGCTCATGCACGGACTGTCCTTGACTTCGTTCTACCCAAACAGACTCACCAGACACGTTTGCATGGAAAACAAGGCGTGAAGAACATTGTTCATGTATGCTACATATTATCTGTCTATGGAATAGTTACTGAGTTAAATGATCATCCGCTGTCCTGTTAGTTCTGCTCAAGTTGATGTATCCAGTTTTTCCTGGTGTCGATTTTATCGCAGGGTCCACGATCAACCATTGCGTGAGTGGTTGCTATGACCGGAACAGTCCTGATGGTGTTCATCCAGTCCAGATCATCGTAATGCTTTGGAAAACTCTTTCCAAAACAACTTACTCGTAATTATATTTTAGATGTCACCAAAGTGTTGGATGTTAATAGTATTATGCTGGAAACTATAACTTCATAACTTCAAAAAGTTAAGTATTCTGAAGCTCAGGCTTCAACTGAAGACACTGCGACGATATGTACTCATGTTAAGGATCAGAGCCATTACAATACGTGATTGGTAATATCTGTCTTAGGAGGTACATTTATACCCTTACATGACTGCTGCGTAATGTTACATGTCTGCTGTAGTTTAGGTTATCATATACGAGTGTGTTTTTGATGCTGTACTTTTCTACTGTAAACCTTCCAGTAGCTAGCACTGCTGTTGCATTCGTTGAGGGGGCACGGTTCCAGGGGTATTGTCAGACTAGTCGTTAGTTTATCTCTGGTTTTACGTGTAGGGCTTCACCAGTCCCCATGTCATAGTTGAATGTTAATGCTTGATGATGCAAAATATATCGTCGGCGGCTCCGAGCACAGCGTTTACTTGTATGTTGTGTAGCATGACACTCAGCAATATGTCAGCTGTATGAACCTTGGTACAGACATAATCCACTCACACAATCCAGTGACAGACTAACACTGTCCCACGACGTCTAGGTTCTATAAGGCGCCATCAGCCCAGTCAACAACCCTCACGTTCACGCAAGGAAACAACCAGATTCGAGTTACTTGTGCCCTGAGAGAGCGGTTGTGCGAAACATCGGTCCCAGCATTCCATGTTTATAATTCACCAATAAGTACGTTCGACCCGGAATATATATCTGTTTCTGCAACGAAATTTAATAAACGACTGAATCTGAGAATATGGGTATCTCGATCGAACTCTGGAGATCTAGAATTGGGACTTTTTATCACCGACCCAAGCTCAGTTCCCGCCGAAGTGACAGCCATGACAGTGACCACTACACACTGACCAGCCGATGGTCACCCGGGATGGACACAAGCTACCGGATTGTTAGTGTGACGTTTGTGATCTTCTGTATTGTCATGGTAGGCTGTACACTCACACAGCTCTATCGGGATATTGAGATTAATTTTCACATTGGATGTTCATGGAGGATTTCACATCTCGCATCTGACGACGAAAAGGTAAACACTACCCTTACTCTGATATACCGAAGTGCTCTTCTCATACTATCTGGTGACATCGAACTTAACCCAGGACCTGTTGATAATGTTGTTTCATTTCGTGAAGAAATACTATCAGCATTTAAAACGATGAAACAGGATATCACCTCGGAAATCAGAGACCTGAAGGTAGATATGGGGAAGATGAGTAACACGCTAGATAACATAAGCTCTGAGCTGGCAGATCTAAGATGCAGACAGGAAATTCTACGTGCTGATGTTGACGAAGTTGCAGATAGGTTAGATCGCCTAGAGATGTCTCCAAGCAACGACAATATAACCATGGTTACTGATAAACTAGACAGTATAGAGGATATGCTGGAGAAACAAGAACAATACAGTAGACGCTGCAACGTCATTCTGTATGGTCGACCTGAAAAGCACGAGAGACAGTCTCTGTGTGTAAGAAATATGTATGTGACACTTTGAATGGACATAACACAGACGGTGATAATGATATCACTAGCGACTGTATCGTTGCCGCACACAGGTTAAAGGGGAAGCCAGGCCAGCCAAGACCCATGATAGTCAAATTTCTCTACCCAGAGGATAAAGTGTGGGCCTTGAAACTGATAGACAGACTTAAAGAGGACAGATACGGAATTTCCTCAGACCTCACGAAAAATCAACGACGGAAGCTCAACGATTTGAAAGCTGAGAACAAACTTGGCTATTTCAAAAAATGGTAAACTGTTTGTGACCGAGAGGCAGAATACAGATACCACCCCCACTCAGCCAGATGCGTCGTCTGCTACTAGGCCCGACCCAGAGCCCCTTACATCAAGCAACAAGAAGCCTGGACCCAATCTACGCTCTAGGGACAAGCGGGAGAGGAGGAGATAGGGGTGTGGCCAGGGCCCAGATGTTAGTGTCCATACCATCAATAATCACTCATTTTTAGTTTGGAATGTCAACGGACTCACTTCTAAATCATCGGATGCTGACTTTGTGAGCTCTGCTGAAACATTCGATGTAATTGGCATGTGTGAGACGTGGAATACACAAGAAGACCATGATATGTTCTCGGATGAGTTCATGTGCTACAATCTAGATGCAGTTCGAATCTCTGCCCATGGCAGATCATCAGGGGGAATGTCTAAGATTACTCCAAATTGTGTATCCCTGTTGTTCGACAAAGTGTTTTTTAATTCAGAAAAAGATGTGTTATTAGGTTGTGTATATATTCACCCTGAGACATCTACATGGTACGCTCATAATAACGTACATTGTGGTATATCCTTGCTACAAGACTCACTAACTGATGTTCTACAAGAGTTGAGTAACATCTCACTTCTGATTGGTGGTGACTTCAACGCAAGAACCGGCACTAACCTAGACTATGTAGAGGACGATATAATATCTACTCTAAAGATGGACTATTGCGAATTCTTACACGATAATATTCAACATAGACGGTACTCATGTGACAATTTTGTTTCAAACTATGGTAAAAAATTATTTGAATTATGCGCAAGTTTGAATATCTCAATTTTTAACGGCAGAACTGGAAATGATAAATTAATTGGTGACTCCACGCATATCTCATCAAACGGAACAAGTGTGATAGACTATGTTATCGGATCGAGTGACTTGTTTACGTTGTGCAGCGGATTCGATATCGGATGTAGGCCAGAGTCTCCACATCTGCCAATCACTTGTGCATTTCAGTCACGTGGTGACATTGACAACCACAAGGAAGCACGTGCACGCGATTCACACTCTGGACAGAACTTCAGGTTCAAGTGGACTGATGACTGTGTAAACGAATTCCGTGCTAATCTGCTTTCACCTGATGTAACAAAGACTCTAGACGATTGTGCTTGCCAAGCTATCTATGATGTAAATCAATCAGTTCAATCGTTTACTAATGCCTTAATCAAGGCTGCTGACTTTACAAAGAAACGCTGCAACAACTATACTAAATCTAACCAGCCATGGTTTGATTACGAATGTAATTTCCTTAGATTAGAAACGCAAAGATTGTTAATAATATTTAGAAGGGTTAAATCTGACATATCCCGACAATCATATGTCGATTGCAGAAACAAGTACAATGATGCTTTACGAAACAAGAAAAGACTCTACAATATGTCAATAAAGGACAAATTACTACAGAATATCTATAATGCAAAAATATTCTGGAATACGCTTAAAACATATACAGCCCCCAGAGCGAAAATGAGCAATGTTGATATTGATGTATGGTTTTCCTATTTTAAGAACTTGTATGAAGACTAAAGCACTGTGTCTGATCATGCCGAGCCCCAAATTAGTGAATGTGATTTTGATTATGACGTTGATGACATAAAATGTACTATATTAGATTCACCTATACTGTGGAATCACAAGCAGGGTTTAGGGAAGGTTATTGTACAATTGATAATATTTTTATTCTACAATCTGTTATCCAACTTTATCTATGTAAGAAAAAGGGGAAGTTCTATGCTATATATGTTGATTTCAAAAAGGCTTTTGATTTTGGTAACAGGGATAAACTATGGGCCATTCTCAAATATAGAGGCGTTTCACCTAAGATGCTTAAAGCCTTAACTTCTATCTATAAGTGTGTTAAGGGACAGGTGCGTGATATTTCTCTCTCTCAGTTGTTTGATTGCCTACAGGGTTTGCGACAAGGGTGTGTTTTAAGCCCGCTATTGTTCTCATTCTTTATCAATGGATTAGCTCTAGAAATTGAATCCACATGTTACCCAGGTGTACAGCTCCACCCTGATGTTGTACAAATGTTCCTACTACTTTTTGCTGATGATATTGTACTTTTTGCAGACTCTGTATTTGGTTTACAAAAACGTATAAATATTTTAGAAAGTTTCTGTAAAAGTCATCAATTAACTGTTAACTTGGAAAAACACAAGATTGTTATATTTAAAAATGGTTGTAAATTATCAAAATATGAAAAATGGCATTTCGATGGAATTCTTTTGGAAACTGTTTCATCTTACAAATGTTTGGGTATTTTATTTGCACGTTCTCTATCTTGGTCTCCCCATGTGAATAACGCTGCTTTGCAAGCTAAGAAAATTGCATATGGCATTCTAAAATCTCTTTATACGTTTAATCCACTTCCTTATGATGTATTTTTTAAGATATTTGATACAAAAATTAGTCCGATTCTTTTATATGGAGCTGAAATATGGGGAGTTGATAACTTTAAAGAAGTCGAAGTTGTACATATGTTTTGTTGTAAACGTTTTTAAATGTCAAACGGTCGACTTCGAACCATGTAGTTAGGGGAGAATGTGGCCGTTATCCAATGTATATATGTATATATAAAAAAGTTGTTAAATATTGGTGTAAAATATGCAAAATACCCGATTCCAGATTTGTAAAGAAATGTTATAACATGTTAGTTTTAGACTCTGTAAATGGTAAAACAAACTGGGCATCAAAAATTAAGAATATTCTTTACTCTTTTGGATTTGGCTTTATGTGGGAACAGCAGCAAAATTTATGTAACGTCGATAAATTCATATCAGAATTTGTTTTTAGATTAAGAGCAAGTTATGAACAAGAATGGCACACATCGCTTGTAAATAGTCCTAACTTTTCACTTTATTCTTGTTTTAAAATCTCATTTAATGTTGAATTTTACATAAAAGATTTATCAATTTCAAAATTCCGATCGGCCCTTGCTAAATTCAGATTTTCTTCACACCGCCTCCAAATTGAAACCGGTCGATATATTAATCAACCCAGATCAAATAGATTATGTTTTGTATGTAAAGATAACTTTATTGAAAATGAATTTCATTTTATTTTGGTATGTAAATGTTATCAAAATCTGAGATGTTTGTATTTACCACATAACTTTTATTCGAATCCCACTATTCATAAGTTTAATATGCTCATGTCAACTGGCAATCCATATATTGTAAAAAACCTAGCTATTTATATACACAATGCAATGAAACTTAAAGATTCACTTCTATGCCAATAATATCATATTTCCTTTTGTATACTCTGTAAATTAACTTATTGTCTTCTGAACTATATATGCACATATGTACCGCTCTGAAATCCTGAAGTGTAGCCTGGGCCTATGGCCTCCACTACAAAGAAAATAAAGATTGATAGATGCTGTACTGTAAACCTTCCAGTAGCTAGCACTGCTGTTGCATTCGTTGAGGGGTTCCAGGGGTATTGTCAGACTAGTCGTTAGTTTATCTCTGGTTTTACGTGGCGGGCTTCACCAGTCCCCATGTCATAGTTGAATGTTAATGCTTGATGATGCAAAATATATTGTCGGCGGCTCCGAGCACAGCGTTTACTTGTATGTTGTGTAGCATGACACTCAGCAATATGTCAGCTGTATGAACCTTGGTACAGACATAATATACTCACACAATCCAGTGACAGACTAACACTGTCCCACGACGTCTAGGTTCTATAAGGTGCCATCAGCCCAGTCAACAACCCTCACGTTCACGCAAGGAAACAACCAGATTCGACTTTCGCCGATACAGATTCAGGCTAGAGCGTTAAAACCAAATATTTGAGTTTATTAGGCTTTCTAAAATCTTCGTTAAAAGAGCAAATGTTTGCCCCAGATACAGGTTTGCCCCAGGGGCAGGTATGTCCCCACCTTCAGGGACCTGGTGAAGAGACAAGACGTGAAATGCCCTTACAAAAACACACGTTTTATTTAGAAAACTGCTGTTGAATGAAAACTTAGGATGACCAAAGATTAAGGTTGTGTATATATTCTCTCCCTGATTTAATTCAGAGAAATCTTGCATTTTATAAAGAGTCAGCCACGCCCACGTATCGGAGATCTAAACGTATCCACTTGATGTGTTGGGAGGGGCATTATATGAACCAACAGTAAAGGATTATAGTGACAAGTCTGAAACCTACAATAGCTGCGTCCCTCTGTCGAGCAAACATTTGTGGCCGTTGTTCAGAATTCACCTGTGCTCTGACCGTTCCGTGGCAGCGCCCTCTAGTGGGTGTGACGTAGTAGACATCTAGGGACGACATGGCATTGCCCTGAAGACACAGTGTATACAAACACTGCACATCTACATACCTGTCACTCATATCAAGGTGAATGACACCACGCTGCTGGTTGTCGGCGTATATACAAACACTACAATCAACATACCTGTTACTCATATCAAGGTGAATGACACCACGCTGCTGGTTGTCGGCGTGTATACAAACACTGCACATCTACATACCTGTCACTCATATCAAGGTGAATGACACCACGCTGCTGGTTGTCGGCGTGTATACAAACACTACAATCTACATACCTGTCACTCATATCAAGGTGAATGACACCACGCTGCTGGTTGTCGGCGTGTATACAAACACTACAATCTACATACCTGTCACTCATATCAAGGTGAATGACACCACGCTGCTGGTTGTCGGCGTGTATACAAACACTGCACATCTACATACCTGTCACTCATATCAAGGTGAATGACACCACGCTGCTGGTTGTCGGCGTGTATACAAACACTGCACATCTACATACCTGTCACTCATATCAAGGTGAATGACACCACGGTGCTGGTTGTCGGCGTGTATACAAACACTGCACATCTACATACCTGTCACTCATATCAAGGTGAATGACACCACGCTGCTGGTTGTCACATCTACATACCTGTCACTCATATCAAGGTGAATGACACCACGCTGCTGGTTGTCGGCGTGTATACAAACACTGCACATCTACATACCTGTCACTCATATCAAGGTGAATGACACCACGCTGCTGGTTGTCGGCGTGTATACAAACACTGCACATCTACATACCTGTCACTCATATCAAGGTGAATGACACCACGCTGCTGGTTGTCGGCGTGTATACAAACACTGCACATCTACATACCTGTCACTCATATCAAGGTGAATGACACCACGCTGCTGGTTGTCGGTTTGTGTGAAAACGTTATCCCATCAACCAAACTAAGTAGAGGACACACAAGTCGTGAGAAACACACACATCAATGACATCATACATATCCTGCTACTTGGTGTACTTCTGCTACAGATGTTAGTTATGTTTCGCATCAACAGATGAAACATGGCAACAAGCGTCCGGCATCGCGGCAACATGTGTGTGTCATGTGGGAATCAGTGTTTGAAATATGAGTCTGTATTTGAGATTAATATCAGCTCTGCCGTTAAGGAGAAGGCCTAGTGGGTGTCAGCCCGATCTGTCGACAAGTGAAAATTAGGATGTTGCTAATCGTCGACAGAACAAACACCCCGGAGTGTCGACATCGCGTGGGCAACATACCGTGACGGTGTTAATTAGTGAAAGAGAATTTGCTTAGTGATTTGCAAGTGACCATGTTCGTTTCATGAGTAAATGAATTACGTTAATTATAGAGAATGTCCTTTTAACAATTTGTAAGAGAATTAAGGTTGCAAACAAACTATTATTTTTAAAATACGTTATGCGATTGGAAGGATTGCCATTTTGGAGTTTAACATGCAAAAAAAAAATACCGCAAAGAAACAGAGAGCTCACAAATTATTTTGTGATATTGGGAGTAGAAGGATTATTGAAATGCTGTTAAAAACATTTATTTGGACAGGGCTCCAGATAATATTTCAACATCAGGAGTACGTACTCCATATTCTTTCACTGGAGTAGTGGAAAACCTTACGAGTACATTATTGTTTCGTTTCATATACTCATGCCAATAATGGTTGTCACCCCTTCCCCACCCCAACCCCACACACCCCACACCCACACCACCTCTCCCCAAAAAAATAATTGAAGGGGGTGACAACCATTATTGGCATGAGTGTATATGCACCACAGCATTGATAGTCTTGTGTAAACAGGTCAATAAACAATAAACCAATATTTTTCTTCAGATAAATACGTCTGTAAATGATTCTAAGACCGTACACCATTGCTGTGGTGCGTACCTGCTACGTTTTCTAAATTATTTGCTACCGTATTGTGCATATTTTTTATCCGTACATACGCCGATACGGCCCTTATCTGGAGCCCTGTTTGGATACATTTGGATTCCGTTACTACCACCTGGGTAGAAGGTCCATGGACTCTGCCAAAATGGAATTATGTTGAAAATGATGGACACAGAACTAACAATACTTTGGAAGGTTGGCACAACAAAATCAACAAGTATGCCATAAAGACGCATCCGAATGTGTTTGAGGTTGTGCGAATGCTGCAAAAAGAACAGCCAGCTACTGAAGTTAAAATTCAGCAGATCCGAGGACAGCAGAGATCCCGTCCGTAGACGTCGCTACCGAATCATCGACGCTAGGATTCAGTCCTTCTTGCCAACAGACTTACTGACTTGAACTACACAGACCATGTGTCAGAGTTGCTTCATCTTGGCTGAACATTACAGATTACTTTAGTTCAGATATAAAGGAGTTTTGGCAAGAAGAAATATCTGGACTCATCTTTTATATATTTATTGCTTACACACATGCAGAAATCACTTATTTTTGTAAAACACACACACACACACACACACACACACACACACACAAATATATATACTGAGTCAAAAAAGAAACTTCACAAAATGTAATTTGAAAAATAATGAATGATTTTTCTCTGATGATACATCTATGTATCCGAAATGGGATCCCTATCTTTCAACTCTAGAAAAACATTAGCAAAACCCACTCAAACCCATCCATTTCTCGTTCAAATGACGTTAGTGCCAAATCAGGTTTCACGTGATCTCCGCATCGAAGTTTTCTTCATATGCACGAGTTTGCATTGGCCTCAAGAATTGAAAAAACACTTTTAAACCACAGTTCTAACGGTACTTGAAATACCACGATTGTCAAATGTGCAACGTGAACGTGCCGTTGGCATGTTGCAAGCGGGAAAATCACTTATTGACGTCGCAAGAGCAATGGGATGCAGCCGTCGTACTGTGTATGACTTGCGAGGTCGTCTACAACACACTGGCACCACTTCTGATTGCCCAAGGTCGGGTCGTCCACGTGTGACGTCACGAGCAGAAGACCGTCCAATCGTCCTACGTCACCTACGTGGCAGATTTCTGCCGGCTACACGAACCAGGGCTGAGATGTTTAGAGGTCGACTGTCCTCACAGACCATTCAAAATCGGTTGCGGGCTGCCAATCTCCGTTCTCGACGTCCATATTGTGACTTGACATTCTGTATACCCATGTTTTGGAACGGCGGTGTAGCCTTATGGAACTGATTATGGCACTGTCAGTGTATCGATTACATCACACAGATCTCAGCAATTAAAGCATAACAATTTAACCATCTTACCATCTCTTGTTCTTTTATAGTGCCCTGAAGAAAGAATGTGAAGTTTCTTTTTTGACTCAGTATATATTGTGTGAGATTTCTGAAACATACAAATATGTTACATTGTGTAACATATGATACATACATGTTGTTATATTGACTAAATAAATATATTGTCTACTATATATATCGCACTCTGTTTTAATTGGTTTGTTAATTTCAAGAACACTGGGCGTGAAGTCACTCATGTAGAACTTCATCTCCCTTTACCCGGACTGTCGACAGGTAATTTGGACGGATTATTTGTTGTTGTCGACAGTCCGGGTATAAACCGGTCTAGTGGAAGAGAAGGTAGTGCCGTGAGAAAATAGTGGCTTCCTTGAACTGGTGAGCTCGCCAAAACCCATCGGTGGGAGGACGTCTTGGCTTTTCATCTGGAAGTACAAAAGTAGAAGATATCAGTACAACAGTTACTCAGAAGCTTGAGGCATATTGAAGTAGTTGGCACTTGTACACAAACGAAAGCTACATGGCATTTCCTTTCGCTCAATATGTAAGGGAATACTGATTCCATTACACAATGCCATTTAGAAAGTGGTCAGTTGTAACATCTGTTATGTTTAGGATTACACTTTCTTAGTAAAGTACAGATTCTAGTACTGTTTTGGGTTGAGTCCCATCCGACTTTCCAACCCACACCATCAGAGTCAGGCACCAAATCGACAGCACAAAAAGTCAACCACCGCCACTTTCACTTCCACCGCAACCTGGACTACCAGTTGTTCGACGTCCATCGTGGACACCGCGATGGCTGAGCTGGTTAGGCGGATGACTTTGTGTGCTGGCGATTTGGTGCCTGACTCTGATGGTGTGGGTTGGAATCCAGGATGGGACTCAGCCCCACCAAAATACTAGAATCTGTACATGACTGAAAAAGTGAAATACCAAATGTAACATATGTTACATGTGACCACTTTCTAAATGGCATTGTGTATTCACATTACTACGTTACTATAAATATTTAGTTCAAAATGCCTTGCCTGTTCAAAGTGCTGAGGGCGTTGCAGTTTCACAGGTAGAACAATGATGCTAGTCACGCCTTCCTTGCATGCGTCGTGCCTCGGAGTGACAACATCCCCATTCAGAAGGTGCTCCACGAGGATCTTGCACGAGAAGGTGTCGGGGGGCGGATCACCACATGAATACACCCACTGCAAGTTGTCCTCACATTGGTGATGGGATTCAAACTCGGAAGATGTCACATTGTGTTGTTTGGAGCAGCTGCACCTGATCAGTTCCCGCAGTCGCCGTACCTGCAACAGAGACCGCTGAATCCTGGAAAAACACCTCTCCTTGTAATTAAAGTTACAGAGATACAAAAATGTGCACATATTACTTGAACTCAAAAGCAAATCCCTTATTTTCCTTCTATATTCACTGGACCAGGGGAATATATTTCCGTGTTCATCTTATCTCAGATTAGACAGGGGTTGTATGAAGAAAAAAGAAACGAAAAAGCTATCAATGGTCATAAGAAATCGATTCTGCGGTTCAGACTACACCATAAACATGTGTGTATTGACGCCCAGTAAATAGTGATGATACCAGGTGTTCGCGAATAGGTGAGCAGATCCTGATCCACTAGTGGCACCTGGGACAAACACACGCACAGGCAAGGCAACTGTTGCTGTGATTGTGTACAGCCAGTTTGTACAAAACGGGTTATAGCACAATTGCCATATTCAGATGAGCACATCAGTAGGACAGAATTGTCCTAAGTAGAAATGTGGCTTCTACAAAAACATATTCGAAGCAAAATCGCAAGCAAATGGTCTCTATTGTCATGTTCTTGTCTAACCACCAAGAAGAACACTGTACTGTGTCCAGTCAGACAGAAGGATTATTTTTGTCGAGACAGATAGATATTATTAACAAGGTTGGTTTATTGGCGATATATATATCTACATTGCATTTTATCTAGTCACATATCTACATTATATTTTATCTAGTCACATAGATACACTGTATTTTATCTAGTCACATAGCCACATTGTATTTTATCTAGTCATATAGCTACATTGTATTTTATCTAGTCACAAAGCTACATTGTATTTTATCTAGTCACATAGCTACACTGTATTTTATCTAGTCACATAGCTACATTGTATTTTATCTAGTCACATATCTACATTCTATTTTATCTAGTCACAAAGCTACATTGTATTTTATCTAGTCACATAGATACACTGTATTTTATCTAGTCACATAGCCACATTGTATTTTATCTAGTCATATATCTACATTCTATTTTATCTAGTCACATAGCTACATTGTATTTTATCTAGTTACATAGCTACATTGTATTTTATCTAGTCACATAGCTACATTGTATTTTATCTAGTCACATAGCTACATTGTATTTTATCTAGTCACATATCTACATTGTATTTTATCTAGTCACATATCTACATTGTATTTATCTAGTCACATATCTACATTGTATTTTATCTAGCCACATATCTACATTGTATTTATCTAGTCACATAGCTACATTGTATTTTATCTAGTAACATTTCTGCATTGTATTTTATCTAGTAACATAGATACATTGTATTTGATCTAGTCACATATCTACATTGTATTTTATCTAGTCACATAGCAACATTGTATTTTATCTAGTCACATAGCTACATTGAATTTATCTAGTCACATAGCTACATTGTATTTTATCTAGTCACATATCTACATTGTATTTTATCTAGTCACATTTCTGCATTGTATTTTATCTAGTAACATAGATACATTGTATTTTATCTAGTCACATATCTACATTGTATTTTATCTAGTCACATATCTACATTGTATTTTATCTAGTCACATAGCTACATTGTATTGTATCTTGTAACATGGCTTATTATATTTTATCTAGTAACATAGCTACATTGTATTTTATCTAGTCACATATCTACAATATACTTCATCTAGTCATATATCTACATTGTATTTTATCTAGTCACATATCTACATTGTATTTTATTTAGTAAAATAGCTACATTGTATTTTATCTAGTCACATAGTTATTGTATTTTATCTAGTTACATAGCCACACTGTACTGTGTCTAGTCACATAGCTACATTATACTGTTTCTACTAACATAGCTACATTATACTGTGTCTAGTCACATAGCTACATTGTACTGTGTCTAGTCTCATAGCTACATTGTACTGTGTCTAGTCACATAGCTACACTGTACTGTGTCTAGTCACATAGCTACACTGTAGTGTGTCTAGTCACATAGCTAGATTGTATTGTGTCTAGTTACATAGCTACATTGTACTGTGTCTAGTCACATAGCTACTCTATACTGTAGCGTGGCAAGTTAGATGTACTGTGTCCAGCCAGACAGTTAAATTGTTGTGTCTGTTCAGTTCGCTAGATAAATAACAATATTGTATTATGACAAGTGAGATAGTTCGATTATATTGTTCCAAGTGAGATAATTAGATTATATTGTATCCAATCAGATAATGTGATTGTGTTTGTATCCGACCAGAAGGCGAGGTGTGATACATGAAGGACCAACAGCGTATCACCCTTGGATCTTAAGGTCAGTCACTGGATTGTCCTGTCCAGACTTAATCATTTTCAGCTTAGATCGTGCTGGATGGCGTAGTAACAAACCCACTGTGCACACGCACACACACACGCATGTACGTAGACGTTTCCGTCTGAGACTGCTTGAAGTCATCCCCTACCTGCTGATCCCCGGAGTCCGTGTCAGCGTTCCTCCACATCTCGGCGTGACTCCGGACATGGAGTGTGAACATCAGCCGACTCTGACAGTCATACGTCTCCACCAGACGTACCGGGCGTTCAGCCACCAGCTCACTGCCATTCAGAGCCTTCTCTTTGTCAATGATTTTCTACAACAGGGAAATATATTCAATATAATGTCTGCTATATAAAAAGTCAATGCTTGAGACGAGCTGCCAATTAAACACATCCTGGAAGATAACTGACCCCGAAACTTAACTGATAATCCTCAAATAATAATCATTTTCATTAGCTAATAGCAAAACGCTACTTCAAGTCCGATTTAGACACCTGTATATAGTTGAGATTATGGTATGGGTGTATCCCTGAACTGTCGTTGATCTACCGTTCATGAATGTAAACAGGGAGTATTTACATTGTATCCATTGAGTAGCAATTCGCATGTCCCATATTACTTTTAATAAACACTATATCAGATGTCAGACTGAATCTGTACAAGTGGATACACCGCGCAGAATTCTTCTGTCAAATAAAGCTTGCTTACAGTGTGTAACGCGAGCTGTTTTATCTCCCCGGGGGATGTCAAGCTTGCATCAGCAACACTGTCTGTCCCAGACTTGAACCAGTACCAGCTGTTATCTATGACATTGATAGCAAACATACCACTCCCTTCCTCGCTCCCATACCTGTCTGACTTCTGGGATGCTGTTCCTGCGGTCCCCTACAACCAGAGTGATCCAGGCCTCGTTGCCATGGCGACCGTAACACCCGAACACCAGGGCCAGAAGGTCAAGGGGGCAGGTGTGTCCGCAGACAGAACAGAAGAAGCCAGTGAAATGCACGGTGAAGATCTCTACATGATTTTCCTTTTTGACGTAATACAGTTCCTGGTTTAATCCATCCTCCTTCACGGGAACATCGCCAAACTGTAAAACATAGGCGCTACTTACTGACTGCAGAATCGCAGAATATACTGAACCCAAGGGAGATAATAGTAACGTAGGATGGGGGCCCGGGTTGAACAATGAGTGAGTTTGGTTGTTACGCCGATTTTAGCAATATTCCAGCAATATCACGACAGGAAACACAAGAGATGGGCTTCACACATTGTCCTCATTAAGGGAAACTAACTCAGGTCTTCGGCGTGATGAGTTGACGCTTGACCACCAGGCTACTCCACCGCTCCCGTGGGCAAAAACACTCACCACGATCTCAGGGTATGAATGTCCACAGATTGATTCATTATGCCCAGACTTCGTTAATGTTGGAAATAATTCCCATATACTCTGCGTGCTTATGAATATAGTTATATTTGTATAAACGAAGGGGAAACCTACCAGGAGGTATTACTTTATTCTCACGAAACTACCAAGTTCAAGGTTTCAGGAATATCCCTATATATCAATGATTGTTTTTATCCTACCGTGTTATCAGACAAGGTGACATTCACAGGGGAACTTCCTCATTGAGGTACATTGCAAGAAGTCCCATAATTATTGTACTATTGCCAAATATATACATTACTGCACAATTAAATAGGGGATACATTCCACTATTCGGTATGGCAATCATACATTATATATCATGGACGGTGACCATCCACTCACAATGCCATGTCACCATGAGCCATATTTATAGGAAGCCCAGGGAGACAGAAACCCTCATAGTTAGGGAAATCGTCTTGACAATAAAACAACACAGTGCCAAATCTGACATCAATATCACTTACCTCCACATTGCCAGAAGAATCTTTCTGGAAGAATCTAACCCTGAAAGTTTCTTTTGGGTTCCTCTGGATGCATGGTATATGTATCTTGACGTGTCTGTACCACTTCCTCTTGCACGACATTTGAAATTCACCAACTGGGGATACAACAACCTCGTCATCGTCCATGAAGGGTTGAAGGTTGTGGAACTCCGGACTGACAAACGCCTGAACACACACACTCTCCCCTTTGGGTACGGCGTCCCTTGGAACCTCGAGGGTTATGTCCGACTTTGGAATAGCTAGAAGTCCTCCCATGGATGTAAAGTCAGCAGATTTGTTCCATTCGTATCCGAATATTGTTCTTGTGTTTTCATGATTATACTTTGTTTGTGTCCCTTTTGATGTGAATAGATTTCCATAAACATTTTCGGGTCTGACGTTTAGGTGTTTCTGATAGTCCAGGTTATTAGAGAAATTATCGAGCCGGGTAGAAGGTATGCTACTGTTCGTACTAGTGCAGTTATTTAGCCAGCAGATTTCAGCTGGCGACGTTACCTGAGTAGAACCTTCACTGCTGTGGCTGTCAGTATCAGCCGAGAAATCCTCATCTTCTGTTTCAGATGAGGTTTGGCTGATGTCACTCTGCAGCAAAGTGTCACGACTGGTACGTTCATCCCCTCCAGTTCCTGATGCTAGGGACCTGACCGGAGTGTCATCCCCTCCAGTTTCTGCAGCTAGGGACCTGACCGGCGTGTCATCCCCTCCAGTTCCTAGTGCTGGGGACCTGACCGGGGTGTCATCCCCTCCAGTTCCTCGTGCTAGGGACCTGACTCGCGTGCCATTCCACCTAGTTTCTGCTGCTAGGGACCTGACCGACGTGTCATTCCTTCCAGTTCCTGGTACTAGGGACCTGACCCACGTGTTATTCCGACTGGGAATCACCTGAACTGAGTGGGGACCAACATCAGCTGGCTGTGACATCCCCAGTGTGTTCTGTGGTCCTTGAACACATTTAACGTTAGTTTCACCGGGGTGGTGTCCAGACAGTGACAGGTTTGCACCTGAGATCACTGAAGTAAGACAATCCTCAGCATCTGAAATGTCATGCAAAGGACTTGCTAACGTTTCACTGCAACTGCCATACATCGGATACCGAAGGACACCTTCGGAGTAAGATTGACGCACCGTAGCTGCTTGCGGACAGGGTCTGCGTAAAGGCAACGAAAGAGCCCAGTTTTTCCATTGCCTGTCAGGATCGCACTCTTTGGATACCATGTGAGGCAAATCGCGAGCTAACTTCATCTGTCGGTCGTCATCAACGCACTCCCGCTGACTTGTAGATGTTTCTGTTCGTGTTTGCAGGCGTGATAATTGAGGAAACCGGCAATAACTGGGTGGAATATCCTGGGTCGATGTAGTTTGCAGACTTTCATCCAAATTTGATCTATCCGAGGAATATACATTACCGTCCAGTGCCCGTTCGTGTTGTGTGGAACTGTCCTTCAACATCTGATGTTTAACATGATGCCTCTTTAACAGTATTACAATGAGTACCAGAAGGACAACCGGGCACACTAAACCAGCTGCCAAGTAAACGTAGTTGGTCTCCTCTGGAAAGAAATCAAATATTAGATTCATCCCATAAAACAGATTCAAACAGGCGTAAAGGCTGAAACCTTTGGCAGTTATATGGACAGATCATTGAAGTCCGTAATACCATGTAGCACCAGAAACGTTACAGATATACATTTAGTTTGCAAGATAAACACTTCAATATGTTTCAACGGCAACAAAGCAGCCCGATAGTATTACACACTGACTGCTTGTCACAGATATCTACAAAACTCTGAAATATGCAAAGTTAGCAAAGGCAAATGTGAGAAAGTTTTTAAATCCTTGTAATTAAGTCGTACTTTGTGATTTTCCGTAATATCTAAACTTCTTAACATACTCACCAGGCTCAGGCGGCTGCGTTCCTGATTCCTGCTCTTCGTAGTTTGCTTCGTTATATGCAGATAGTGCCAGTGTTGAGTAGGAACTGACGACTGTAGGTGTACTTCCTACCGTTGTTGCTGTTGTTGTTGTTGCTGCTGCTGGTGTTGTTGTTGCTGTTGGTGTTGTAGTTGAAATGTTTGGTGGTGGTGGTCGTGATGTTGGTGTACTTACTAAAGTACTCCTTGCTGAATTGTATTCATATTGTAAGATTTTTTCATCATCTTCCGCATGCAGTGTTTCTTTTCCATGCCCTAGAAAGACAAATACGACATCATATATAGGTTCGTTAGGGCGATACAAACCTGATACAAACTCTTTAAAAATAGTAGGGGAACCTGAACTTTCAATATAGATTATCTTGCATCTCACAGATTGAGTTGTTACAAAAAAAATTATGTTCTTCTTGAAAATGAAAATCGTACACATGCTAATTACACGTCATACACCAATCATCTTTCAAGAGCCATTACTGTACAAACAAACTACATATGTACAATGTATTGAAAATGCAATTGGTGATGTACTCTCAACACATTCATTGATATCATATTAACATTGATTGACTCCGTTATACCTCCCTGATATTTTCAATCGTAAATTAAAAATGAAATTCACCTTCTTTTTTAAGAGTTTATGTTGACCATGTATTTAAATTCATTGCATTAGCGTAATGCCTGTCTACTGTTACTTGTCAAGACTAGCCCAAATAGATGCCCCAACTCCGTGCTGGCCAGTCCATGTTTAATCCCTTTCCTACTGAACTCTGGGTAGGGTCACAAGGCCTATGGGCGGTCTCAGGCCTGCACGGGGTCACAAGGCCAATGGGTGGTCTCAGGCCTGCACGGGGTCACAAGGCCAATGGGTGGTCTCAGGCCTGCACAGGGTCACAAGGCCAATGGGGGCGGTCTCTCGGGCCTGAACAGGGTCAAAAGGCCATGGGGGCGGTCTCTCGGGCCTGAACAGGGTCACAAGGCCAATGGGCGGTCTCTCAGGCCTGCACAGGGTCACAAGGCCATGGGGGCGGTCTCTCGGGCCTGTACAGGGTCACAAGGCCAATGGGCGGTCTCTCCGGCCTGCACAGGGTCACAAGGCCACGGGGGCGGTCTCTCGGGCCTGAACAGGGTAAAAATGCCATGGGGGCGGTCTTTCGGTCCTGAACAGGGTCACAAGGCCAATGGGCGGTCTCTCAGGCCTGCACAGGGTCACAAGGCCATGGGGCGGTCTCTCGAGCCTGGACAAGGTCACAAGGACAATGGGCGGTCTCTCGGGCGTGCACAAGGTCACAAGGCAATGGGGGCGGTCTCTCGGGCCTGAACAGGGTCAAAAGGCCATGGGGGCGGTCTCTCGGGCCTGAACAGGGTCAAAAGGCCATGGGGGCGGTTTCTCAGGCCTGAACAGGGTCACAAGGCCAATGGGCGGTCTCTCAGGCCTGCACAAGGTCACAAGGCCAATGGGCGGTCTCTCCGGCCTGCACAGGGTCACAAGGCCATGGGGCGGCCTCTCAGGGCCTGGACAGGGTCAAAAGGCCATGGGGGCGGTCTCTCAGGGCCTGGACTGGTCAACAGGTGAGTGAGCATGTTTGAGCTATATTCCAGTAAAATCACGGCTGGGTACACACACTGAATCCGAAAATCGTCTGAATGTTAAAGGTGGGAGCTTATTACATCAAAACGGTCAAACGCTAACGCAGTTGAATATGATTGTGCCAATATGTCCATCAACGATATGGATACCTTTCCCTGGCACTTCAGTCCTAAGATTTGCGTGAGCACTTTCATGTGGCCGCGACATTCCTTTCTGACTTCCTGGTGTTGTGGCCACATCCGTATACAGTCTGCTAATGACACTGGAACAGAGCATGGGCACTGTCATACAACAACCCAACGATTTACTGACCTTATTATAAAACAAGGAATTATTCCTGAAGCAAGTGCACTCCTCGAACAACGCCTTCCACACACACAACACAAACAACCCAAAACACACACACTTACTCACACAGATACACAGGAACACACACACTTACTCACACAGATACACAGGAACACACACACTTACTCACACAGATACACAGGAACATACACTTACTCAAAGAGATACACAGGAACACACACTTACTCACAGAGATACACAGGAACACACACTTACTCACACAGATACACAGGAACACACACACTTACTCACACAGATACACAGGAACACACACACTTACTCACAGAGATACACAGGAACATACACTTATATACTCACAGAGATACACAGGAACACACACTTACTCACACAGATACACAGGAACACACACTTACTCACACAGATACACAGGAACACACACACTTACTCACACAGATACACAGGAACACACACTTACTCACACAGATACACAGGAACACACACACTTACTCACACAGATACACAGGAACACACACACTTACTCACACAGATACACAGGAACACACACTTACTCACACAGATACACAGGAACACACACACTTACTTACACAGATACACAGGAACACACACACTCACACAGATACACAGGAACACACACTTACTCACACAGATACACAGGAACACACACACTTACTCACACAGATACACAGGAACACACACACTTACTCACACAGATACACAGGAACACACACTTACTCACACAGATACACAGGAACACACACACAGATACACAGGAACACACACAGATACACAGGAACACACACACTTACTCACACAGATACACAGGAACACACACTTACTCACACAGATACACAGGAACACACACTAAACATTTGACACTGTTTTGTGTGTAGAACATGCTGTTGAAAATCGACAAAAGCAACACGGTACAAGATTCAATAAAACATGAAAAGAAAAGATTTTTATACATTTTTTGCAAACTGCATTCTTCTTTCTGCTGCACTTCTTCCTGTACCCGTGGGTGCACGTGCGACAGTGCTTGCACCGTGGTTCAGAGCCACCATGGGAGAAGGAGCCATCTTTGCATCGTTTGCATTTCCATTCTTGTTGACCATTCTTCCTCAGCTCTTTTCCTGGTGCGCATGTCTTTAAAGACCTGTGTCGCCCCTGCAATGAATTATAGGCATGTTGTGATACTGGAACCTAACGTAACAATCTGTACATGGCACGGGTGTGCAGCACACGTGTCACTGGCGACATCCACACAATCAGCCTCGACAAAATCAACCAAGCATACACCGTATCCCACTGTTGGGCCAGGTACAATCGCCAAGCAATTGTCTTGTGTATCAAGGATTACACACACATACCCATATCCCTGTATATTGTAGTCTTCGTCGGACTGTAGGTATAAACAGGTATAAACAGTTTTACAGCATGTCACTTGTATGTCAGTCCTACTTGATCAACATATACAAATGTCTGTTCTATATTCTCATCGCTGCCTTCCACTTCTATATCCACATTTCATATTTGTTAAATGATGATACAAAGACATGGCTGTCAACTCACCTGTACCAGGAGCGACAGGAGTACAATCAGTGCAGCTACCAAGCCTAGCTTCACCATTGTGACGCCTCGCATGCCTGCAACAGGTGATTAGGAAGATTGGTACGACAACACTGCAACCAGTCGGGTAGTGGCAATAGTTGTACACATTGGGATGGCAATAGTTGTACACATTGGGATGGCAATAGTTGTACACACTGGGATGGCAATAGTTGCACACACTGGGATGGCAATAGTTGTACACATTGGGATGGCAATAGTTGTACACACTGGGATGGCAATAGTACACAGTGGGATTGCAATAGTTGCACACACTGGGATGGCACTAGTTGTACACACTGGGATGGCAATAGTTGTACACACTGGGATGGCAATAGTTGTACACACTGGGATGGCAATAGTTGTACACACTGGGATGGCAATAGTTGCACACTGGGATGGCAATAGTTGTACACACTGGGATGGCAATAGTTGTACACACTGGGATGGCAATAGTTGTACACACTGGGATGGCAATAGTTGTACACACTGGGATGGCAATAGTTGTACACACTGGGATGGCAATAGTTGTACACACTGGGATGGCAATAGTTGTACACACTGGGATGGCAATAGTTGTACACACTGGGATGGCAATAGTTGTACACACTGGGATGGCAATAGTTGTACACACTGGGATGCAGTAGTTGTACACACTGGGATGGCAATAGTTGTACACACTGGGATGGCAATAGTTGTACACATTGGGATGGCAATAGTTGTACACACTGGGATGCTATAGTTGTACACATTGGGATGGCAATAGTTGTACACACTGGGATGGCAATAGTTGTACACACTGTTAGTACACACTGGGATGCTGTAGTTGTACACATGGGATGGCACTGTAATGACTGGGATGGCAATAGTTGTACACATTGGGATGGCATAGGTACAATATCTGTTGTACACACTGGGATGGGAAGCAGTGTAGTGGGATGGCAATAGTTGTACACACTGGGATGGCAATAGTTGTACACATTGGGATGGCAATAGTTGTACACACTGGGATGCTGTAGTTGTACACACTGGGATGGCACTAGTTGTACACACTGGGATGGCAATAGTTGTACACATTGGGATGGCAATAGTTGTACACACTGGGATGGCAATAGTTGTACACACTGGGATGGCAATAGTTGTACACACTGGGATGGCAATAGTTGTACACACTGGGATGGCAATAGTTGTACACACTGGGATGGCAATAGTTGTACACACTGGGATGGCAATAGTAGCTACTGTAAAACTGCAGTAACGTGATGGGAAGCATTGTAATGACTATACAACTGTCACATGTTATATCTAATATCTGATACAGATTTATGTACTTTTGTTGGGTCCAGGATTCGAACTCAGAGAAGTCTACTTCACTGAGAAACTTTAAGCCCAAATATAAAATATGTTACATTTGATTTTCGGAATGACAATGTGTATTGGCAACTATTTCACACATTGCAATAGTTGTTCAATCATTCTGCCACTATTGCAATAATGTTCAATCATTATGGTACTATTTCCATAGTTGGTCAAACATTATGGTACTATTTCAATAGTTGGTCAAACATTATGGTACTATTTCCATAGTTGGTCAATCATTATGGTAGGTACTATTGCAATAGTTGGTCAATCATTATGGCACTATTGCAATAATGTTCAATCATTAGGGTACTTTGCAATAAGTGGTGAATCATTATGATACTATTAAAATAGTTGGTCAATCATTATGGTACTATTGCAATAATTTTCAATCATTATGGTACTATTGCAATATTTCGTCAATCATTGTGGTACTATTAAAATAGTTGGTCAGTCATTATGGTAATATTACAATAGTTCTTTAATCATTATGGTACTATTGCAATAGTTTGTCAACCAATATTGTACTATTACAATAGTTGGTCAATTATAGTACTATTGCAATAGTGGGTCAATCATTATGGTACTATTGCAATAATTCAATCAATCATTATGGTACTATTGCAAACAGTTGTTCATTCATTATGGTACGATTGCAACAATAAGGTCAATCATTATGGTACTATTGCAAAAATTGTTCAATCAATAAGTTACTATTTGCAATAATTGTTCAATCATTATGGTACTATTGCAATTAAATTGGTCAATCATTATGGTACGATTACAACAATAGTTGGTCAATCATTATGGTACAATTGCAATAATTGTTCAAATCCTAAGGTACTATCGCAATAGTTGTCAATCATTATGGTACTATTGCAATAGTTGGTCAATCATTATGGTACTATTACAATAGTTGGTCAATCATTATGGTACTATTACAATAGTTCTTCAATCATTATGGTACTATTGCAATAGTTGGTCAATCATTATGGTACTATTGCAATAATTGGTCAATCATTATGGTACTATTGCAATAGTTGGTCAATCATAATAGTTACTTTTGCAACAATTCGTCAATCATTATGGTACTATTGCAATCGTTGGTCAATCATTATGGTACTATTGCAATAATTGTTCAATCATTATGGTACTATTGCAATAGTTGTTCAATCATTATGGTACTATTACAATAGTTGGTCAATCATTATGGTACTATTACAATAGTTGTTCAATCATTATGGTACTATTGCAATAGTTGTTCAATCATTATGGTACTATTGCAATAGTTGGTCAATCATTATGGTACTATTACAATAGTTGGTCAATCATTATGTTAATATTGCAATAGTTCTTCAATCAGTATGGTACTATTACAATAGTTGGTCAATCATTATGGTTATATTACAATAGTTCTTCAATCATTATGGTACTATTGCAATAGTTTGTCAATCATTATGGTACTATTACAATAGTTGGTCAGTCATTATGGGACTGTTACAACAATTGATCAATCATTATGGTACTATTGCAAAAATTGTTCAATCAATATGTTACTTTTGCAACGATTTTTCAATCATTATGGTACTATTGCAAAATTTGTTCAATCAATATGTTACTTTTGCAACAATTGTTTAATTATTATGGTACTATTGCAAAAATTGTTCAATCATTATGGTACTATTACAACAATAACTGTTTAATCACTATTGTACTATATAATAATTGTTCATTCATTATGGTACTATTGCAATAGTTGTTCAATCATTATGGTACTATTTAAATAGTTGGTCAATCATTACGGTACTATTACAACAATAATTGTTCAATCACTATAGTACTATGGCAATAATTGTTCAATCATTATGGTACTATTGCAGCAATTGTTTTTTCACTGTGGTATCGCCTATCACGTCTATTTTGAGCACAGACCGTTACTGAATAAATGACGTTCTACATTACATGTATGTATTTATCTCAAAGTCAAGTTGTAATAATTTCATATTAAAAGTGGAATTAGGAAGACACAGTCACCCTCTCCATAATGAACTATTCTGTGTAAATATACTGAATAAGAATCCCGTGTTCTGTTTGTAGGAGAACAATACACCATTACAAGAAATTGTCTCTGCACTTTCTTGCTTACGAAATCCTCATGTGTAGATTTTCTTACTTTTCAGTTAAATCACTACCTAGGTCATAAGTAAATCAGTTAGACAATGCAAAGAAGTGTGTGTGTGTGTGTGTGTGTGTGTGTGTGTGTGTGTGTGTGTGTGTGTGTGTGTGTGTGTGTGTGTGTGTGTGTGTGTGTGTGTGTGTGTGTGTGTGTGTGTGTGTGTGTGTGTGTGTGTGTCTTTATTTTTATTACTTAATAGGGTTCAAGTAACTTTACCTGACAATTTACCATTCCACTTGGCCTATATATGTGCGACATTACAATGATATGAGCGGAGGTTTTGTTCAATTCCGACTGATCAAGTGTTTATGAATGACTTCCAAACTGTGATGATCAAGGTGATATTGAGGATCTGCATTGGAAAGTCAATATTTTACTGTGGCCTTCGTTGTTGTAACCGTAATCAAACAATTTTTGAGATGTTTGGTGTGTCAGTAGAAAGAGAATGCTCGATTGTAAAGTTGTAAAATGTAGAATAATGACAATTATTATTGATATACAACTTCTTTTTATTCTGTGGAGGCGACGTTTCGACAAAGGTTCTAATGTCGTTGTCAAGCAAGTGATGACGCCCTTTGACATTAGAACCTTTGTCGAAACGTCGCCTCCACAGAATAAAAGAAGTTGTATGTACATAATGATTGTCATTATTCTTCATCAACTCAACTTCTAAAATGCAAAAAAAAATCAAAGAAGTTGCAAAATGCAGGCACCAAAGACTAAGCAGCTGGAATACGGAGTTAGATACAAATTCACAACGTGATTGATACAAATATCGCCCTCGATGAAAGACAAGACACGAAGCCCTTTGTCACAAGATACCTAGTTGTAAGGCACAGAAGACTGTTAGATCGATGGAGTTGTCAAGGTGCTACAATCTGAATAGTACACTGAATACAGGCTTAGAACAGCGGATCAATGACAAGTTTTACGTGATTCAGCCTCCTATAACAAGCCCGATCCTTATAATTTGTATAACTGGTGCCACGGTTCATTTTACAGATTTTGAATAGTTGCTAAAATTGCATGTTCATATGCACACATTGAAATGGCCAGGTCTTTTGAATGAGTGTACCCTAGTCGACAGTAATCTCTACCATATCTGGGTCAGCTCGGGGGACGCTATACTCGGAATGAGGAAGTTATTTGTACCCGTTGTTTCTTCACAAACTTTGTGTATAAACACCGTCTCTACCCGTGCGGAAATATATGTACTGAGATTTTAGTCATTCTCATTTTGTTCCACGCACTGACATTCCTGTACATGGACACACAGTGGACGGTGTCCTGAACGACGGTATACATTGCGGCTACATTACTGTGCTTCTCATGACTACCTTGCTCGAAATTGTTCAACATCATCACGCAGTTGATATTAATCATAGCATTACATGGACCTGAAATACCTGTAGATATCAGCACGTGTGGGTATTGCTAGACACATTATCAAGACACATACCTCCGGCTCACACCTCCTCGCTGCTGTGTAATACCCTATTGCGCAGTTACGTTTATCAACGGAGGCACAGGTAAAGCGGTCTGCTATTACTTGGGTATATTAACGGATGGGTCTGTTATTTATAACCTCTCCGTCATTTTGTCAGCGCCATCCACCCTTTGTGGATAGCTTTACGCCATGGTTGCGCTGCCGTGATGGCATACCGGCGCTTTGTTCATTGTTGTATCAGGGTCTTCAGGGGTCGGTGTGAGCAAAGATAGGCACAGATATGATTCAGGAAGTTTCAAAACAGTGCATCGTTATGTGACATATTATCAATCCTGCAGGAGTGAATGGTTCGACTGAGGTTCGACTGAACACCCTTGAGGCGCCGAGTATCCAGGTCTGTCACAGTGACGTTGCAAGCCTCTCTGGTAATTAAAACACAATGTAAATATTTATAGTCACTGCTCACGTGGTGAGGTGAGGTGTGGTATTTTTTTTTTATAATTTTTGATTTTTGATTCTCCATACATCCAGGTCATACAGTTCATTACATAACGGGTTGGTATAAACACGATTCGCAAATATATACAAAGTCGATTTACAAGCAAATGTGCATTGGTGGAAATGAATAGGTACTTGAAAATATAATAGCAGTACATTATATATAGTGCTAGGCTAACAGAACAGATTGTGACATAGTGACCAAATTTTTGTGAAGCTGTCCTATTTGCAATTTGAATAGGCATTGAAACGTTCAGCGTAATATGTTGTCTTTACGTCTTCTATAATGTAGTTCAAATTGGGTGTTTTATCTCTTTGTTTCATTTTGTATATATTATATTTCAAATTCAGAACATGGTTTCTCTTTTCACAATATCCTAGAATAATATTTTTCTTTCAAAAGATAATATTTGGCCCTGTTTTTTCGAATATCCATTCTTCTATTTTCTTCCAAATAGTTTTTATGACTTTACAGTCACAAAATAGATGTAGAATTGATTCTTTCTCGGATTTGCAAAATGTGCATGTGTTGGAATCATTTTTGTTAGCAAATCATTTGTTGGCAGAAACCTATGCAGTATGCTGTATTGAAACCAGGAGTGTTTTACACTATCATACGATTTAAAGGTTGTTTTTTCTATCGTTTCCCATATGTTATCGTCAATAGACTCATTAAGTTCTTTTTGCCACTTGTTTCGATATGTTAAAGGTTTTCTAGATTTACCATTTATGAGTATGTCATAGATATCTCTACATCCTTTTGGGTTTCCTACTATATTTCGTAAAAGAAAGGATAAGATCGGAGCTTGGATTTTCTCTTCAATAAGGATGTTTATGGATTTGCAGTAGTATTTAATTGATTCCACTATTCCTTGACGCTCTAGGAAGTTAGTTTTGCACCCAAACGATTTTTTTAATTGTTCCACCGTTAAAAAGTTACTTTGCGCGTCAAACATGTCGTTTATATACGTAATCCCTTTGCTTGAATAATGTTTATAATTGATTGGTTTTCAATCTATTTTAATATTGTCATTTAACCATAACGGTTGGGATAAAATATCACATGCATTTTTTGCTTTTTCTGCTTTTCTGGTTACGAATTTACCCCATGATTTCAAAGTGTCTTTCCAAAAGTGATTTGTTTCCTGTGTTATTACTGATTCAAGTATGTGTGTTTCGCATGTTTGTATAAAGCTGTCGATGTCCTAATGTGTCTTCGTTTGTAGCAATTTCCTTACTTTTGAATTTGAGTTGGTGAGTCTTTTAATCCATGATATTTTTTGTGATTGAATAAGATTTTTTTATCTCTGGGGCTCGTATTCCTCCGTATTAATAATTCTTTGTGATAGTTTCTCGACTGACTTTGCCTGGTTTGTTTTTCCATATAAATTTATAGCAGAGCTGCTCAATTTCCTTAATAATTTGATCATTTGGGTTGGGTAGAGTTACAAATAAATGATTAAGTTGCGGTAAAAAGTAAACTTTTCAATATGGTATTTCTACCTAAGGGGGTTAGATCTCTTGCTAGCCATTGATTCATTGATATTTTGAGATTCTTAAGTTTATAGTTGCGTTCAACCATTTCTGCGATGTTGTGAGTAAATACAATTCCTAATAGTGTAAACGAGTCACTCTTCCAGTCTAAATTCCAGTTTCTGGAAAATTTTCTTTTAGAGTTTTTTTCTGAGCTTATCCTTAATAGCTGTGTTTTGTTTACATTTATTTTTAAGCCTGAAAATGAGGCATATTTACTACGAATTTCTAATGTCGCCTGTAAACAATTTTCAGTGCCATATAGTATCAATGAAGTATCATCAGCGTATTGGGAAATTAGATATTCTGTATCTCCAATTTGTATTCCTTTTATTTTATTATTATTTCTAATCATTGTTGCCAAATTTCTGCGCACAGTATAACAATATAAGGGGAGATGGGATCTCCTTGTCTGCATCCTCTTGAGATATTGAAATAATTTGAAAGGAAACCATTTGCAACAACACAAGATTGAATGTTATTAAAGAAGGTATTTATCCATCTAGTAATCGATGGTCCAAAGTTAAAGAATAGAAGAACTTTTTGAATGAAATGCCAGTCTTCAGACTCGAATGCTTTTTCAAAGTCAATAAGAAGTAGAATTCCTGGTATATTCATATATTCAGTATAGTCAATGATTAAGAAATAAAGTTCGCTCTACCCCAATGTGTTTTGTAATAAAGTATAGTTTTGCCCTGAACTATTATAATTAAAGCACGAGGACGGTAGTCCGAGTGCTTTGATGTTATAATAGTTCAGGGCAAAACTATACTTTATTACAAAACACATTGGGGTAGAGCGAACTTTACATCTTTTCTAAGATGCTAAATTTAATACTTTCTAAGGATAATTACGATTAATTTAAGGCAGAAAACAAATGACGGTGTCTGTGACCTAAATTAAGAATCCTCGCACAGGGCTAACTGGTGCGCTGTTCTATTGATGTGTCTGCCCCCCTACGTTAAGACGAACGTTACCAGAAAAAAACAAATGATAACAGTTTGATGACGATTTACGTTCGGATTAAATATCTTCTCTGAATTATTTTAATTACATCTATCATTAACGTAAACCATATGGGGAAATATCAACGTCGCATTTCTTCTACCAACGTAAGTTTAGATCAGTATATCCAGATGAAGCGGAGTAGTCAAGCGACATTCCACGATTGCATTGTGGGAATGTAAACATTACGACCGTTACCATGTCGCTGAAAACTTGTGAGTCGAATTGACACATTTTAACCGTCGTAAAACATAAACGTTATGTTTCCACCAGTGATGTTAGCTGCGTGAAGCAACTGCAAACCAAGAAACGGGATGCAACGGAGTAGTTTACTGTAGGAGGCCGTACGAGGCGATGACAACTGACATGCACTTACATTGTGACGTAATGTAAAATAATTCGATTACGAGGGGGCACACTAGAATGGCGCAGTGACGGAATAACGTCATTCAATTGTTACGTCATCAAAAAACTATACCTTTATTGTCTCATTATGTATTTTTTTTTCGATTGTTCTAACAGCTTGGCATCTTAGAATGTCATATATTAGGCGAGTACACTCACCAATATATCTTTTTGACATAAACCCTTTTTGATCCTCATTTATTATAGAGGGTAGGACTGTTTTTGTTCTGTTTGCAATGGTTGATGATCCGATTTTATACGCTACATTCAGCAATGAAATGGGTCTCCAGTTCTGAAGCAAATGTTTGGATTTACCTTTTTTGGGACAACAGGTTATAATGCCTTGCTTTTGAGTCAAAGACAATTCTCCTTTCTCGTAAGCTAAATTTAATGATCTTATAAGATACTCGTGAATATTGGACCCAAAAAAATTGAAGAATTCAACAGTGAAACCCGATGAGCCAGGGCTTCTTTCATTTTTCATTTTTTTTAAGACTGTTTAATACTTCTTCATATCTTAATTGTCCTTCTAGATTTTCTTGTTGATTTTTTTATAGCTTTGGGACGTCTATGTTTTTAAGCAATTCTGTTAGGTTCACTTTTTCGCATGGTTTTTTCGTGTATAGGTTATGGTAAAACGATTTAGTTTCAGTTATAAGATCTTCTTTTTTGGTTAGGGTTTCCTTTTGATTGTTTTCAAATTTATATATTGCTTTGTTTAAAAAGTTTCGATTTTCTAGAGACAGAAAATATTTTGTCGGTTTTTCTCCTTCTTCTTTCCATTTAGCTTCAGATCGTTGTAGTATCCCTTCTGGGTTTTTTTATTAATAGTCTCTAATTCTCTATTTGCTTCTTTTAATTCATCCTTTAGCTTTGTTTTTAAATCTGTATCATGTGATGAATCTATTTTTATTTCAAGCTCATCTATGGGTTTTTTCAAGCGTTTGGCGCATATTCAAATTTTCTTTCTTTTTATAGGATAAATAATTTATTGTGTGTCCTCTGATCATTAACAAAAGCGGTTCAAAGAATAGCTGATCGTTTACTTTGAAGACATATTTCCCTGTTTCGTCTACGTCAGATTTGTATTGTTCTTTGATTTCATTTATCAGTATTTTGGTTTTTTCCACATATGTTTTATCTTAGAGTAAAGAATTGTTGAATTTCCAGTAGCTTTTGCTTCTTTCTATCTCACTGATCTTTAGATTAATCCAAATTATTGAATGGTCAGACCTATATGCTGCGTCAATGGTCAGACCTATATGCTGCGCCAATGGTCAGACCTATATGCTGCGTCAATGCTCGGAGCTATATGCTGCGTCAATGGTCAGACCTATATGCTGCGTCAATGTCAGACCTATATGCTGCGTCAATGTCAGACCTATATGCTGCGTCAATGTCAGACCTATATGCTGCGTCAATGTCAGACCTATATGCTGCGTCAATGGTCAGACCTATATGCTGCGTCAATGTCAGACCTATATGCTGCGTCAATGGTCAGACCTATATGCTGCGTCAATGTCAGACCTATATGCTGCGTCAATGTCAGACCTATATGCTGCGCAATGTCAATGTCAGACCTATATGCTGCGTCAATGTCAGACCTATATGCTGCGTCAATGTCAGAGACCTATGCTGCGTCAATGGTCAGACCTATATGCTGCGTCAATGTCAGACCTATATGCTGCGTCAATGTCAGACCTATATGCTGCGTCAATGTCAGACCTATATGCTGCGTCAATGGTCAGACCTATATGCTGCGTCAATGTCAGACCTATATGCTGCGTCAATGTCAGACCTATATGCTGCGCCAATGCCGGTATCGTGAATTAAACTTTCGAGGTTTTTGGAAATTATAAAGTAGTCTAGTCTTGCCTGTTTGACGGGTTTTCTGTCTCCATGTGTATCTCTTGCTATCTAGGTTTTGTTCTCTCCATGGGTCTATTAGATCATTTTCTTCCATAAATTCTAACCAGGTTTCTCTAGCTTTTGCATTATTAGCGTTTTTATAGTTGAAATAATCCATTTTTATATCTTGTACAAAGTTCCAATCACCACATATGGAGAAGATGTCGGATTGTAACTCAGCGATAATTGAGATGATTTCATGATAAAAATTCTGGCGTATCGGTGTTTGGTCCGTATATTGTTACTAAAGTAATTGTCTTATCCATAATGTTCAGTTTTAGTGCTACATAGTTTCCATTTACATCATATCTAGAGTCCTCAATGGTAAAATCAAAGTTATCATTAAAAAGTATTGCTGTTCCTCTGGCATTGCTTTTAAAAGAACTGAAATAACAGTATTTTGATCCCCTTTCTTCTTTAATTTTGATTTCCATTTCTTGTGTAAATTCAGTGAGGTGTGGTATGATGAGGGTGGAGAGGAGGGGAGTTTGGAGTAGAGGGTGGAGCGGGGGAGGGGTGTGGTATGATGAGGGTGGAGAGGAGGGGAGTTTGGAGTAGAGGTTGGAGCGGAGGAGAGGTGTGGTATGATGAGGGTGGAGAGGAGGGGAGTTTGGAGTAGAGGTTGGAGCGGGGGAGAAGTGTGGTATGATGAGGGTGGAGAGGAGGGGAGTTTGGAGTAGAGGCTGGAGCAGGGGAGAGGGAGGTGTGTATAATGAGGGGGTGAAGAGGAGGGAGGTTGGAGTAGAGGGTGGAGCGCAGGAGAGGTGTGGTATGATGAGGGTGGAGAGGAGGGAGTTTGGAGTAGAGGTTGGAGCGGGGGAGAGGTGGGTATGATGAGGGTGAAGAGGAGGGAGTTTGGAGTAGAGGTTGGAGCGGGGGAGAGGTGTGGTATGATGAGGGTGAAGAGGAGGGAGGTTGGAGTAGAGGGTGGAGCGGAGGAGAGGTGTGGTATGATGAGGGGTGAAGAGGAGGGAGGTTGGAGTAGAGGGTGGAGCGGGGGAGAGGTGTGGTATGATGAGGGATGGGGGAGGGAGAGGTTGGAGTAGAGGGTGGAGCGGAGGAGAGGTGTGGTATGATGAGGGTGGAGAGGAGGGAGGTTGGAGTAGAGGGTGGAGCGGAGGAGAGGTGTGGTATGATGAGGGTGGAGAGAGGAGGAGGTTGGAGTAGAGGGTGGAGCGGAGGAGAGGTGTGGTATGATGAGGGTGGAGAGGAGGGGAGTTTTGAGTAGAGGGTGGAGCGGAGGAGAGGTGTGGTATGATGAGGGTGGAGAGGAGGGGAGTTTTGAGTAGAGGGTTGGAGCGGAGGAGAGGTGTGGTATGATGAGGGTGGAGAGGAGGGGAGGTTGGAGTAGAGGTTGGAGGGAGGAGAGGTGTGGTATGATGAGGGTGGAGAGGAGGGGAAGTTGGAGTAGAGGGTGGAGCGGAGGAGAGGTGAGGTATGATGAGGATGGAGAGGAGGGGAGTTTGGAGTAGAGGGTGGAGCGGAGGAGAGGTGTGGTATGATGAGGGTGAAGAGGAGGGGAGGTTGGAGGGGAGGGCGACAACCCTCTACTCCACCCTCCACCCTATGCATTACATGCATTAAGAATGACGCACATCACAAAATGTACATCTTTAATGGAGACTGAAGCAGTAGGTATAATTATACGCCGCTTTTAGCAATACTCAGCAATACCACGTCGAGGAACACCAGAAATTTTAACCATGTGGGGAATCGAACCCGGGTGTTCAGTGTTGACGAGCGAACGCTTTCACCACTCCGCTACCCACCCTCTATGGCAGTAGTCACGTTGTCTGGTAAGTTAAAGTGAGGCCACATGGAGGCCACTTTGAGGCTTTGGGTGATAAACACCCACAAAAAGATTACAAAATATTTAGGTATGTTGTGTATAAGAAACGTAATGATTATGGGAAGAACTACACTCACAGAAACTCTCACTGTCAGAACACACCGTTTACAGTTGCCGCATCAACAAGGACTTTGTTGAATGAAACAGGATATTGTTTTATATGGTACTCTGAATAAAGTGACAACGATATTATTTTATATGGTACTCTGGATAGAGTGACAAGGATATTGTTTTATATGGTACTCTGGATAGAGTGACAAGAATTAACCTGGAAAAAAATTCCAAGGATGAGGCACTTACAATTATACAGTCTCTGAAGCTACCCACTTAAAAATGTGTTTCAAAAATTGCTAGTTACCGGTCCAAGCTCATTGCTATTCAAATAATTGTTTAAACATGAGAGATGTGACATATTATTATTGATATTTTATGCCTAGTCCAACACTCTTCTCTTTTTTCATAAATGAGCTTTCTATAGAAATTGCACAAATAGAAACCATGGAATCCAGTTATTTCCGGATATGACAGAAAGTTTTCGCTGATGATGTTATTTTAGCTTCAGATACTTAATGTGGTACTTAATGTGTAAACAATTACATATTTTAGCATTGTATTGAAATACACACTTTAAAGGTAATAACTTAAAGATAGTCAATAGCTATAAGTATCTCAGTCTTCTATTCACATGTAATGTTAGCCTGGGCAAATCATTATCCGATCTCTCCTTACGTGGCAAAAAGACATTAATGGAATCAAATGGTAACCTTAGAAAAAATCGGTTCGTTGTCACCGGATATCTTTTTATCTATCCTATCATATGCTTCAGAATTGTGGCGATATGAAAATATGACTGTATCCCGATAATCCATCTTTCGGCTTGTAAATTGTACCTATACGTTGGATCTTATGCTCTAGTGTATGGTGAATGTGGCCGTTTTCCTATTTTTGTAAATGCAGTGTTGCCGTTGTCCTAACTATCGTATTAAACTAACAACAATGCATAAAGATGGCATACCAAAAGAAAGCTTATGTAATGTTACTTAATCTCGATATCTTGGTATGAGACATGGGTATGAGACATGGGCTTCAAAACTTCGTTATTTGCTCTTTTTGTCGTATGCATTTGGATTTGTTTGGCCATCATAAACTGTTGGAAATCAGAATGTTCAAAACGCAATTAGTGGATGTTTTAAACAAAAGTTGAGATCTGATTTTGACAACAGCACACCTTATGTTTTGTATAATAGCTAATTAAACCCTGAAAATATCTTTTTGAAATTGCAGATTATAACATGCGTAAATATTTAGTTAAATTTAGAGCTGGATCATCAAGGTTAAAATGTAGTGAAGGACGATGGTGTAAAATTAACACAAATCGAGAACATGTCCGATCTGATGCTTGATGGGTATTTAGAAGCTGGATGGTAACATAACAACGTACGGTATGGATTTACAACTTCTTTACGATTTACAACACGACGTTTCATCAGGTGAAGCGAAAAGAAGTAGCACAGAAACGGCGTGTTGTAAATATTAAAGAAGTTGTAAATCCATACCGTACATTGTTATATCCTGTCTGTTACGGAGGTCTTGAAGAAGAATACCATTTTACTTTCATTTGCCCTAGATATGATGATTTACGTCGTAAATATTTACCAAGTGACTTGAAAAGGAATATGTGTAACTTTAAGAAACTACATATGAGAAATAACGTACATAGTTTGAAAATTCTCAGTCTATATATAATGCACTCTATTGACCGAAGATGTAATTATAACAATGATAATATTAAACGCCATATTATACTTTTGTACTACCATATCATACCTCTGTGTGTGTGTGTGTGTGTATGCGCGCGCGTGTGCGTGCGTGCGTGCGTGCGTGCGTGCGTGCGTGCGTGTACATGAAACTAGGAGGTGCATTGAAACATTTCCATCACAACACATACAAAGACAACAGGTGCGATCCCTCAGTGTTTATTGAGGTGTCTGTTCAGTTGCAGCGGCGGTTATACACGTAGTCATGGAGATACTGAACCCGGCGGACCGCTGACGTGAACTCTAGCTGCCCTCGGTTGAAGCTCCACACAATCAACTCCGAACTTTGCGGGGACAGAGCAGAAAACACCAGCAACTGCAGGCAATCAAACAACAAAAACACTTCACAGAATGTCATCAAAGTATTCTGACTATTTTCTCATGAAGCACATACATATCAACGAAAAGCTTTTGTTGTTTCTTCTTGTTTTGCTTGTTTTCATTCATTAGACTAAATTCCTTTATCTTTATGTTACTGAAGCGTTGTTGTGTTCTTCACACAAGACTCTGTTATGTTGTATGTGTTGCTGTTCCCGAAGTACATCCAGCAGATGACAATGTATCAACCGACCTATCAGATGTACGATGACACTGTATCAACCGACATAAACCTGTAGATGTACGATGACACTGTATCAACCGAATACTAGATGTACGATGACACTGTATCAACCGAATATAGATGTACGATGACACTGTATCAACCGAATACTAGATGTACGATGACACTGTATCAACCGACTATAGATGTACGATGACACTGTATCAACCGAATATAGATGTATGATGACACTGTATCAACCGAATATAGATGTACGATGACACTGTATCAACCGAATATTAGATGTACGATGACACTGTATCAACCGACTATAGATGTACGATGACACTGTATCAACCGAATACTAGATGTACGATGACACTGTATCAACCGACTATAGATGTACGATGACACTGTATCAACCGAATATTAGATGTACGATGACACTGTATCAACCGACTATAGATGTACGATGACACTGTATCAACCGAATATTAGATGTACGATGACACTGTATCAACCGACTATAGATGTACGATGACACTGTATCAACCGAATACTAGATGTACGATGACACTGTATCAACCGACTATAGATGTACGATGACACTGTATCAACCGAATACTAGATGTACGATGACACTGTATCAACCGACTATAGATGTACGATGACACTGTATCAACCGAATATAGATGTATGACACTGTATCAACCGATGATGTACGATGACACTGTATCAACCGAATATTAGATGTACGATGACACTGTATCAACCGAATACTAGATGTACGATGACACTGTATCAACCGAATATTAGATGTACGATGACACTGTATCAACCGAATACTAGATGTACGATGACACTGTATCAACCGAATATTAGATGTACGATGACACTGTATCAACCGAATACTAGATGTACGATGACACTGTATCAACCGACTATAGATGTACGATGACACTGACACTGTATCAACCGAATACTAGATGTACGATGACACTGTATCAACCGAATATGTAGATGACGATGATGACACTGTATCAACCGAATACTAGATGTACGATGACACTGTATCAACCGAATATAGATGTACGATGACACTGTATCAACTGAATAGATTAGATGTACGATGACAGATGTACGATGACGATGACACTGTATCAACCGAATATACTAGATGTACGATGACACTGTATCAACCGAATAGATAGATGTACGATGATGTACTGATGACACTGTATCAACCGAATACTAGATGTACGATGACACTGTATCAACCGAATACTAGATGTACGATGACACTGTATCAACCGAATATAGATGTACGATGACACTGTATCAACCGAATACTAGATGTACGATGACACTGTATCAACCGAATATTAGATGTACGATGACACTGTATCAACCGAATATAGATGTACGATGATGTCAACGATGACGATGACTGTATCAACCGAATACTAGATGTACGATGACAACCGAATATTAGATGTACGATGACACTGTATCAACCGAATATTAGATGTACGATGACACTGTATCAACCGAATACTAGATGTACGATGACACTGTATCAACCGAATACTAGATGTACGATGACACTGTATCAACCGAATACTAGATGTACGATGACACTGTATCAACCGAATATGTAGATGACACTGACATCAATCAACCGAATACTAGATGTACGATGACACTGTATCAACCGAATATTAGATGTACGATGACACTCACTGAATCAACCAATGACGATGACATGTATCAACCGATGACAGATGTACGATGACAACTGACCGAATACTAGATGTACGATGACACTGTATCAACCGACTATAGATGTACGATGACACTGTATCAACCGAATACTAGATGTACGATGACACTGTATCAACCGAATACTAGATGTACGATGACACTGTATCAACCGAATATAGATGTACGATGACACTGTATCAACCGAATATTAGATGTACGATGACACTGTATCAACCGAATACTAGATGTACGATGACACTGTATCAACCGAATATAGATGTACGATGACACTGTATCAACCGAATACTAGATGTACGATGACACTGTATCAACCGACTATAGATGTACGATGACACTGTATCAACCGAATATAGATGTACGATGACACTGTATCAACCGACTATAGATGTACGATGACACTGTATCAACCGAATACTAGATGTACGATGACACTGTATCAACCGAATATTAGATGTACGATGACACTGTATCAACCGAATACTAGATGTACGATGACACTGTATCAACCGACCAACTAATAGATGTACGATGACACTGTATCAACCGAATAATAGATGTACGATGACACTGTATCAACCGAATACTAGATGTACGATGACACTGTATCAACCGAATACTAGATGTACGATGACACTGTATCAACCGACTATAGATGTACGATGACACTGTATCAACTGAATACTAGATGATGACACTGTATCAACCGAATATAGATGTACGATGACACTGTATCAACCGAATATTAGATGTACGATGACACTGCCTGTATCAACCGAATATAGATGTGTACGATGACACTGTATCAACCGAATACTAGATGTACGATGACACTGTATCAACCGAATATTAGATGTACGATGACACTGTATCAACTGAATACTAGATGTACGATGACACTGATCAACTAATATAGATGTACGATGACACTGTATCAACCGACTATAGATGTACGATGACACTGTATCAACCGAATATAGATGTACGATGACACTGTATCAACCGAATATTAGATGTACGATGACACTGTATCAACCGAATATTAGATGTACGATGACACTGTATCAACCGAATAACTAGATGTATGCGATGACACTGTATCAACCGAATATAGATGTACGATGACAATGATCAACCGAATACTAGATGTACGATGACACTGTATCAACCGAATATAGATGTACGATGACACTGTATCAACCGAATATTAGATGTACGATGACACTGTATCAACCGAATATAGATGTACGATGACACTGTATCAACCGAATACTAGATGTACGATGACACTGTATCAACCGACTATAGATGTACGATGACACTGTATCAACCGAATACTAGATGTACGATGACACTGTATCAACCGACTATAGATGTACGATGACACTGTATCAACCGAATACTAGATGTACGATGACACTGTATCAACCGACTATAGATGTACGATGACACTGTATCAACCGAATATAGATGTGACGATGACACTGTATCAACCGACCGATATAGATGTACGATGACACTGTATCAACCGACGACCGTACGATGAGATGTACGATGATGACACTGTATCAACCGAATACTAGATGTACGATGACACTGTATCAACCGACTATAGATGTACGATGACACTGTATCAACCGAATACTAGATGTACGATGACACTGTATCAACCGAATATTAGATGTACGATGACACTGTATCAACCGAATATAGATGTACGATGACACTGTATCAACCGAATATTAGATGTACGATGACACTGTATCAACCGACTATAGATGTACGATGACACTGTATCAACCGAATATAGATGTACGATGACACTGTATCAACCGAATATAGATGTACGATGACACTGTATCAACCGAATACTAGATGTACGATGACACTGTATCAACCGAATATAGATGTACGATGACACTGTATCAACCGAATACTAGATGTACGATGACGATGACACTGTATCAACTGTATCAACCGAATATTAGATGTACGATGACACTGTATCAACCGAATATAGATGTACGATGACACTGTATCAACCGAATATAGATGTACGATGACACTGTATCAACCGAATATTAGATGTACGATGACACTGTATCAACCGAATATAGATGTACGATGACACTGTATCAACCGAATACTAGATGTACGATGACACTGTATCAACCGAATATTAGATGTACGATGACACTGTATCAACCGAATACGATGATAGATGTACGATGACACTGTATCAACCGAATATTAGATGTACGATGACACTGTATCAACCGACTATTAGATGTACGATGACACTGTATCAACCGACTATGGATGTACGATGACACTGTATCAACCGAATATAGATGTACGATGACACTGTATCAACCGAATATTAGATGTACGATGACACTGTATCAACCGACTATAGATGTACGATGACACTGTATCAACCGACGATGACGATGACACTGTATCAACCGACTATAGATGTACGATGACACTGTATCAACCGACTATAGATGTACGATGACACTGTATCAACCGACTATAGATGTACGATGACACTGTATCAACCGACTATAGATGTACGATGACACTGTATCAACCGACTATGAGATGTACGATGACATGATGTACGATGTATCAACCGACTATAGATGTACTAGATGTACGATGACACTGTATCAACCGACTATAGATGTACGATGACACTGTATCAACCGAATACTATGTACGATGACACTGTATCAACGATGATGTACGATGATGACATCACTGTATCAACCGACTATAGATGTACGATGACACTGTATCAACCGACTATAGATGTACGATGACACTGTATCAACCGACTATAGATGTACGATGACACTGTATCAACCGACTATAGATGTACGATGACACTGTATCAACCGACTATAGATGTACGATGACACTGTATCAACCGACTATAGATGATGACGATGACACTGTATCAACCGAATACTAGATGTACGATGACACTGATGTACGATGACACTGTATCAACCGACTATAGATGTACGATGACACTGTATCAACCGACTATTAGATGTACGATGACACTGTATCAACCGACTATAGATGTACGATGACACTGTATCAACCGACTATGTACGATGACACTGTATCAGATGTGTACGATGACACTGTATCAACCGACTATAGATGTACGATGACACTGTATCAACCGACTATAGATGTACGATGACACTGTATCAACCGACTATAGATGTACGATGACACTGTATCAACCGACTATAGATGTACGATGACACTGTATCAACCGATGATAGATGATACGATGACACTGTATCAACCAACCGAATATAGATGTACGATGACACTGTATCAACCGACTATAGATGATGACGATGACACTGTATCAACCGAATACTAGATGTACGATGACACTGTATCAACCGACTATAGATGTACGATGACACTGTATCTCAACCGAATGTGGTGTGGCTGGACCTACACGGAATGGCAGGTCCCCGAGGGCCTGGTAACTCAGCTCCTGTAAGCCATCAATCCGACGTCTCAAGGCATGCTCCGCACTGGCTCGTATTTCCTCCTTGTACTCCGGGCCGGTGAGACCTGGAACAACGTTGTCAAACTATCATATCAACTTTATAGCTGACAACTTCTTGCTTATTGCATAGAACGACGATTCTTACATCCTTATCACACGTCGATTTATGCAATAAACAATTGAGAACTCGTCAGCCATAAAATTGTATGTTTCATTTTTATTATACCATACTTGCATAACGTTGTCCAACTATTACACCATATTTGTATAAGGTAATCAGACTATCATACTCGTATAATTACACTATATTTTAACTAGGTAGTTAATTTTGTTTTGCATACAAGATAATGCAGGCAGAGGGCGGCCAAACCATGTATTGTACCATACAACATGTACACAGATAAAATAGAAATAGGAATGACAAACAAGTCACGATCCCAAAGACATTTGATATTAACAAAACCCGCGGTATCGGAACCACTCGCTATGTTGCGGTCACCAGTGAAAGTATAGCCGAAGCGCGCGATGACGTAAACTCATCCTGAATGAATAATGTTCTTTTAGAATGAAGGAGACAATGACACGCCACAGATCACCTTGCATGATAAAGGTCATATCCCAAAAATAGATGTAGTCCCCGGTTAAGTTGGCCGGAGCGGGAGCCTTCGCAAGGAGGTCGCTGTCGATGTTCAGGTCCGCGTCGAGGTCCTCTGCTCTGTAGAGGGACGTCACGGTCATGCTGATGTTGGCTGCAAACAAGGCATCCTCCAACGGGCTCCAGGCACACAGGGCGTCAGACCTGACAACTGATGAACCAACATTTCTCAATGATCTCTGTGTACAGTTCACAGTCCCTATACTGATCGCGTACAGTCAATGTCATATTTGTACTGGAAGGCCACAATCAGCAATAGTCAGTCCAGCTTTGTAAGTGTGGCCTGGAACTATTGTAGTCTGTACCAGACATGATTGAACTATTGTAGTCTGTACCAGACAATCCAGTGATTGAGGAGGATGTGTTGACAACCCTGTCAACCCTGTCACACAGTCCTGACCGTTCGGTTCAGTACATCTGATGACCAGTCCTGACGACCAGCATCTGTTGACAACCCTGTCACACAGTCCTGACCGTCCGGTTCAGTACATCTGATGACCAGCATCTGTTGACAACCCTGTCACACAGTCCTGACCGTCCGGTTCAGGACATCTGATGACCAGCATCTGTTGACACCTCTGTCACATCTGATGACCCGCGTCTGTTGACAACCCTGTCACACAGTCCTGACCGTTCGGTTCAGGACATCTGATGACCAGCATCTGCTAGTGACTCAACGGGACTGTCGATACCCTGCCCTATGTGAATATAACAGCTTGGGTTATTACAACTTGAATATATTACAATGATCTGTCTGGATCAAGTGGGATGTCTATAGAGTGAAATATTCCACGTGCGCCTCACGAATAGATAGATAGATAGATATAGAAAGATAGATAGATAGATAGATATTCTTTATTTCCTCCAAATTATGAAGATTACAAATGAATATTATACAGCCTGATTTAGAGAACACTCCACTTCCGAACATCTGCCAAGTTTCACTTACCGCCTAAAACTCGGGGTTCTCCAACCACCTGTAAGAAAACAACACGGTATGAATGACGGACTCATGCATCTGTAGCACAGGGCCATACATAATACAACAGGATAATCTAATACAGTGTCACATTGTTATTATTATAATGTAATTTATAATATGAGTTGAAAAGACATACCCATAATCATAAAGATAGATAAAAAGCGAACAGATGTTTGTATAATATATACTAATCATAATTTATGTGTCCGACAGATGGCAGTCTCGCAAACACACGCAAGTCCATTGTTCAACTGAAACATTCATGGCAACATATCGAGCAGATAAACATCAGGGATTGCAACTGAAACAATATTTTTTACACGGGGAGGAATACTTTTGGGCGGTGTCATTGGAACTTCCGGTTACTTGTACATGCAGGTATCCTGAAGCACTTACAGCAGCTCCCCAGTTGTGTGGGATAGATGTAGGGCAGGATTTACTCACTTGTGATGTGAGAGGCTGGCGTCATCACTATCTACTGAGCAAAACTGAAAACTTGACACTCGGGAGTTTTGGACTACATTTTCAATATTAGGGTTAAGATAATGTCAATAACTTTAGTTGCATGCTGTGCACAGAACATCTTCACATCAGAGAAAACAAAAACATACTCTTCAACAACTATGACGTTCATGATGTCAGAGTACCATGATAACAGCGTGGAGAACAATTCGACTGAGGTCTTCAGTAAGGGTTGTGGCCTCCTCTAGGGTCAGTTACAGCCAGACAACGTCTCCTCATGGATCTTAGAACGTTAGTAAACACATCCCGAGGAAAACGTCGCCATTGCTCAACAAGGTGATGTTGAAGATCTTGCAACGTCTGTGGTGGATTGACTTGCTGACGAACACGTCGACCCAGCTCATCCTAGAAGTGTTCGACAGGATTGAGGTCGGGGCTACGCGACGGCCAATCCAGAACTTGAATACCTGCATTTCGTAGAAAATTGTGTGTAAGAATTGCCGTATGCGGCCTAGCGTTGTCTTGTTGGAACGTCAGTCCAGGGCCATGTCACTGTTTAAATAAAAAGCAGGACAGGTTGCCAAATCTGATCCCTGTACTGGGCAGCAGTTGCATTCCCTCGAACGACAAGGGGAGAACATCAGTGTGCGCAAAACTAACCCAGTACCATTACACTTCTGCCACCAAATCTGTCCACTTCATGGACGAAGACTTGAGCGTGACCTGGTACACTCGGGCTCTGCCGTCGGCAGATCTCAATGATAATCGTGTTTTCTCGCTGAAGACAACCGAATTCCACTGTCTTTTATTTAACCTTATGTGTCTTGTGGCCCACAACAGTCAGTTGCGGCGTTCAGGAGGCGTTAAAATTGGTCCATTATGGGGTATTCGGGCGCGAAGTCCAGCGGTACGCAAGCGATTTCAGACAGTTTGGGCAGTTATCCTTTCACCAGACATCTCCCTACTTGTGGAACTTGTAGTAACATTCGGCTTCGGGCGGTCAGGTACAGTTCCGGTTTGAAGCACAATCATCCTAAGATTAAAATTTGTTTGTCGTGAGCAATCAAAGGCTCCAGCAGCAGCGACCGCAGACTGACCAACATCAAGCCCTTTTTCATTTGAAGGGCGTGGCATTTCCAAGCAAGAAGATTAAAAGAAAGAAGTTTAATTTGTTTTTGTTTTTGTTTTTTTCGAGCTCACATTCAATATGCGTGTTCAGTTTAAGCAAACATGCACCAAACGTCATCATGAATTGCTTTTCACACCTGCATTTCGTGTTTTTCATCTTTATTAGGGTACAAAGTCAAGGTTTGCACGTGAACTTACATTTTCACGAAATGAACGCATTCACACTGACACTGTTACTACTGTTTAATATACTTGTAAATTTAGCTGATTATCCAGAAAAAGAAAAATGTCGAAGTTGATCAGTGTCAAGTTTTCAATTTTACTGAGTATATTTAACAGCTATTCCCTAAACCTTTACACTCGCACTTAACGAATTTGATATCTTATCATCAATGACGCGGTTTATGGCTTTACAATAGAAAGATTAATATCACCTTTTAAAACGTGACAAGAGCAGAACTTACTTTGAAGGCTTGTTCCACTCTAAGACCCTCCACACTATCCAGTGTATCATGTATAAATGCCACCGTGGCTCCCAAGTCTCGGCCGGATTCTGGAACTACGATGTCGACAAAGAAGGGCTCCTCTTTCTTCTCCTTCTTGCACAAACCACCCAGGAACATAGAAGTTCCAAGCAGAAGCAGGACAGACACCTTCATTGCTACGTCTCGTTCAGTGGGCATCCCAGAAGAATATGTGGAATAATTCTTTGGCCACATATGTTTTTATGAGGGTTAATTTACGGTGACAAATATTCACCTTAAACAGTCTACATCAGCATTGAACATCTGCTCGAGTTACTGGTAACACATGCTGCAGATGTAATCCACACCTTCACCCATATCATTATCAGTAGATTAACAGATATAGGAGATGGGAAACTAATACATACCTGTGACGGGAATAACCCATCAAATTACACGCTACCCACCTGTAGACGGGGTGAGAATTGGTCGTGGCCTCACTGTGAGAGGAGACATACTACACCAGGTTGTTCCAGGTACACGCTACCCACCTGTAGACGGGGTTAGAATGGGTCGTGGTCCCACTGTGAGAGGAGACATACTAGACCAGGTTGTTCCAGGTACATGCTACCCACCTGTAGACGGGGTGAGAATTGGTCGTGGTCTCACTGTGAGAGGAGACACACTACACCAGGTTGTTCCAGGTACACGCTACCCACCTGTAGACGGGGTTAGAATGGGTCGTGGTCTCACTGTGAGAGGAGACATACTAGACCAGGTTGTTCTAGGTACATGCTACCCACCTGTAGACGGGGTGAGAATTGGTCGTGGCCTCACTGTGAGAGGAGACATACTACACCAGGTTGTTCCAGGTACACGCTACCCACCTGTAGACGGGGTTAGAATGGGTCGTGGTCTCACTGTGAGAGGAGACACACTAGACCAGGTTGTTCCAGGTACATGCTACCCACCTGTAGACGGGGTGAGAATTGGTCGTGGTCTCACTGTGAGAGGAGACACACTACACCAGGTTGTTCCAGGTACACGTTACCCACCTGTAGACGGGGTTAGAATGGGTCGTGGTCTGACTGTGAGAGGAGACATACTAGACCAGGTTGTTCCAGGTACACGCTACCCACCTGTAGACGGGGTTAGAATGGGTCGTGGTCTCACTGTGAGAGGAGACATACTAGACCAGGTTGTTCCAGGTACATGCTACCCACCTGTCGACGGGGTGAGAATGGGTCGGGGTCTCAGTGTGAGAGGAGACACACTACACCAGGTTGTTCCAGGTACACGCTACCCACCTGTAGACGGGGTGAGAATGGGTCGTGGTCTGACTGTGAGAGGAGACATACTATACACCAGGTTGTTCCAGGTACACGCTACCCATCCGTAGACGGGGTGAGAATGGGTCGTGGTCTCACTGTGAGAAACGATTAGTGGACCTGGTACGCACTACCCACCCATGGGCAGCCCGGGGTAGAAAGTATCGTGATCTGACTGAGAGGAGACATAATAGACCAGGGTGTCCACTGTCAAGGTACACACTACCAACCCATGGGCAGCCGGGGTAGAAAGTATCGTGGTCTGACTGAGAGGAGACATAATAGACCAGGGTGTCCACTGTCCAGGTACATGCTACCCACCCATGGACAGTCCAGGTTAGAATGTGTCGTCGTCTGACGGTGAGAGGAGACATAATAGACCAGGTTGTTCCAGGTACACGCTACAGTCCGGGTTAGAATGTGTCGTGATCTGACTGTGACAGGAGACATAATGAACCAGGTTGTTCCAGGTACACGCTACCCACCCATGGACAGTCCAGGTTAGAATGTGTCGTGATCTGACTGTGAGAGGAGACATACTAGGCCAGGTTGTTCCAAGTACACGCTACCCACCCATGGACAGTCCAGGTTAGCATGTGTCGTGCTCTGACTGGGAGAGGAGACATACTAGACCAGGTTGTTCCAGGTACACGCTACCCACCCATGGATAGTCCAGGTTAGAATGTGTCGTGCTCTGCCTGGGAGAGGAGACATACTAGACCAGGTTGTTCCAGGTACACGCTACCCACCCATGGACAGTTCAGCTAAGAATGTGTCGTGATCTGACTGTGACAGGAGACATACTAGACCAGGTTGTTCCAGGTACACGCTACAGTCCAGGTTAGAATGTGTCGTGGTCTGACTGGGAGAGGAGACATACTAGACCAGGTTGTTCCAGGTACACGCTACCCACCCATGGACAGTTCAGCTTAGAATGTGTCGTGATCTGACAGTGACAGGAGACATACTAGACCAGGTTGTTCCAGGTACACACTACAGTCCAGGTTAGAATGTGCCGTGGTCTGACTGGGAGAGGAGACATACTAGACCAGGTTGTTCCAGGTGCACTCTACCCACCCATGGACAGCCCAGGTTAGAATGTGTCGTGGTGTGATAGTGAGGCAAGATGAGTTCCTCTGTCCAGCAATTCCTAACCCCATATTTTCTGCTGTTAGATTCGGTATATAGTACATGTATGTGGTTTGGCCAATGCATGCATTGTGTTACCTACTCAGAAACAACGAAGCAAAAAGTTATTAGAATCTGGGCATCATCGTAAACCCGTGCCTTCCTAATGAAAACAATATGCATAGCGAAAGAATACAATTAGTGTTCTTGTATTATGATAGAGAACATATACATAAAGACTCACACGATTAGTGATCATGTCGTTATCATAATAACACCATCAATATAGTCAACAGCTTGTAATTCATATACTACTCACACTTTGATAAGGATCATAAAAATTCACAACTTTACTTGAACGTAGATTTATAATTTTAAATTGTATCCATTTAAAACAGGATAAATAATAATTTGGTAACCCCTCTTTAGACAAATAGTCACTTAAATCTAACCGTATGCACTTGATACATGAGTAACCATAAAAATGGTTTTCATGGCATCAATCAACCATTTTGCAAATAATGGAACGAGTCATTGACAAGTACACCTGTCAGTAGCAGGTATTGGTTCCACAAGATTAAATGACATACTGAAACCTAGGATCCATGCTTACACTAGGCTTAGATATTTAAACCAAATTTCATCCCACACCATAGCTTTCTGTTGAATCCATGATTTGATCCTTAGCAAAGTGTGAATAGTATATTTGGAATGTTCTGACAAATTAGATTGCACCATCTGGTGAGCAAGCAAGCAAGCATCTGCAGATGATAAAGGAGAAGCCAGACTTTACTCCGACCTTAATATTGTCCTCGACACTTCCACTTGGTACTTATATTGTCCGAAAGTCGTCAACACAGACAGACAATGTGGCCGCAGGGAACTCAGTCAATCAAAGAGTTGTACATCCTGCAGCACCGCCTTCTCCAGGTGACTGATGAGTGAGTGAGGTGGGTGAGATCAGGTATCCCATGTATGTCACGGCCTGTCTGCTCAGCGTGGGGGTTGGGGGGAACCCCCGGAGCAGGTCTCCACAGACGTTCACCACTTTGGTGACACTCAGGAACATGGATGCGGTACTGACAACAATAGAAACTGAAATATGGTGAAACTGGATTCCGACAGACTATCAGCAGTTTCTGGCTCGCGTTCGAAATTAGCGTCGGCCCTTAGACCCGAAGCCGACTGAAAATCACCCGGACCCACAGCTTTTGTTTTCTGCAGGTCCTTATGGTCGACAGCTTAAATTAAACGCTTTAACTCAGTTTGTTAGTTGTCTCATTGTTTGTATTTGCTGGGAATTACTTATATTGCAGCTAAATTATAGGGCCTACACATCCTGATCTGTCCTCATCCCACCCGCCTACACTGAACTGATAACAGCAGAGCGCTCAACCTTTCATCGCTACTTCATCTTTTCAGTTATGTATTTTGTTCCTCCTCATGAACAGTAACTGTTGGCTTCCTCCATTTGGTTGTTAATCCATTTCCTGGATACCATCACGTTGTCTTTATTAACCCCTGTCATATGTATACTAACGGAAAAAAGTAACTGTGCATAACATAAAATTGCATGAAATAAAAGTTATTTGAAAAGATTTTAAATTAACCCTAAATAAACATGAAGCAAAGCAATTTGCATGAAATTTGATTTCTAGTACTGCGCGAGGCACGTGCGCTCTATGCACAATGACCCTACTTACTTTTTAATGCGTTTGACACCTGAAGTTCACACACCTGATATTGAAATTGGAAGAATGGCTGAATATTCTCTAGCCTCTGAATGTTTATTTCAACCTAAACTGCGCGTACGTCCTGCCATGGCTTACAGAAAATTAGCGTCTCCGTGCCATGGGTATGCTGGAGACTGAAATGGCCCAATATAAAGTGGCCAGACATTTTGGTGTCAATCGAAACACGATCTCATCTCTATGGAGACGTTTTCAACATGATGGGAACACGAGAGATTTGCCTCGGACGGGTCGTCCACGCTGGACGTCTCATCAGAAAGACAACCACATTCAACTGACCCATTTAAAGGCATCGATACCAGACTTCCAGTTTGACTGCTCGGACCATTTCTTCCTTACGTCCAATCAGTTAAAGGACTGTACGGAACCGACGGAAGGAGCACCGTACGTCCAATTATGTTCCAACGTCACCGACGGGCACGTCTTGCCTGGTGCATACAGCATGTCCGGTACAGGAAAGAAGACTGGGGTGGTGTTTTGATCACTGACGAGTCGAGAGTTCATCTGGCCAGCTCAGATAGCAGAGCAAGGGTGCACAGACGGCGAGGTGAACGGTATGCTGACGCGTACGTTGTTCAACGTCGACAGTTTGGTGGCTAAGGCGTTATGGTATGTGGAGACATCACATATGGTCGCACACCACTTGTCATTGTCATTGGCAATCTGACAGGTCTGCGATACAGGAATGAGATCATTGGGCCTCATGTGCAGTCGCTCTTTCAAGGGTAGAGACGTAACTTCACGTTTTAGCAAGATAATGACCGTCCACATGTCGCCCGTGTTGTGACAGATTTCCTGAGACAGCAGAACATTGCGAAACCCCCCTGCCAGATGTTTCTCCGGACTTGCCCCCTATCGAGCACGCTTGGGATAGAATATAGCCACGTGACATTCTAGAAGATGAAGTTCATCTCATTACAGACTGTTCAAATTCTGATGACTCAAGAAATTCCCCATTAAAGAGCGCCTGTCTACGAGATGACTTTGCAGACCTCCCATCACTTGAGAAGAATATTAAACTTATGACTTTTAAGGACATTCAGTATCTATTGTCAGATTGTTTTTATATGTTCATGAACAGAAGCAATGTCATAAAGTAAACACTGTATTGTGTAAATTAACAAATGTATAATGAGTAGTGAGTGAGTGAGTGAGTTAGTTCAGTTTTACTCCGCTTTTAGCAATATTCCAGCTATATCACGGCTGGGGACACCAGAAATGGGCTTCACACATTGTACCCAAGTGGGGAATCGAACCCGGGTCTTCGGCGTGACGAGCGAACGCTTTTACCACCAAACCGCCCCGTATAATGAGTAACTACCTACTACATAATATATAAGTTATGGTAATATTATTTTACCATTTTATGGCTATTGTCTGTGCTAGTATTGCTTTTCATGTATGTATTGTAATTTGCAATAATGTATTGAGGTAGGTCTTATATTATCTATATGGTTTGTGTGACTGAAAGTAAAGTGGGTGAAGGTTGCGTGTGATTTGTATGTGTGAAGTATACTGTGTGCATGCTGGTTGTATGACTTAATTAAAGAGCAGATAGTGGTTGTATGGCCTGTTAAACTGTGTGTATGTGGCTTAGGCTCTACATGCTGAGCGTGGATGTTTTAGACATTACTTAGATAAACCAGTAAAATAAAACACAACAAGTCTATTATGCTCAATTATGTATTGAATAAACACGGTTACAATGAACGATTTCTAATACAATACTATTGGACATCACAAATCTAAAATATTGGGTCACAAATCTAAAATATTGGGTCACAAATCTAAAATACTGGGTCACAAATCTAAAATACTGGGTCACAATATTGGATGCACGGATAGGAGATTGTTGACAGTTGTGAAAGTTAAATGTAGACGAGGCCTCTTGAACGGTGGCCTTGGAACGTTGATGTGAGCAGACAGATGAGCGTAAATCCAAAGTTGTAGTCCCGTACATCTCAGCAACAATCCCTTATATAACTATTATACAGTTTCGGAGAATTCTAGCAAACACTAAGCCACACTACGATCATTTACAAAATACTGGAATCCCTTCATGGTTTACAACATCCTACCGAAACACCAGAAACAAAGGGGATGTAACTCTAACTTACTCGTAACAAGTGAAATGACATAGCCTAAGTTCAAGATGCGACTTCAAATCTACACTCAGCGCTTTTAAACTTTTG